TGGCGTGTGTGTGTAAGTGAGAGAGAGAGAGAGAAAGTACCTGTCTCCCAGAGCCAGTGTTGATTCAAGCGGCGAACTTCCAGCTCTGGGTTCAGGTCAGCTCTAGCCTAGCAGATCCGTTTTCACACATACATATATATACATATATACATACATACATACACATATACTCACACACATATCCTCACCCACGAACCCAAGAACCCCACCAAGCAAAAGTAAAAAAACAACAGACAAACCCACGCCAAACCCAACCCAAAGAACCAGAACCCCCAAAAATGTCCTCCTCCTCCTCCGCCCAACAGCTCCCCAACCTGAACCTGCACCCGAACCCGAACCCGAACCCAAGCAAGAAAGCCCCCGACACCTACTACGAGATGGCGATGCGCTGGATCGAAGACACCTACCTAAAGTACTTTGGCGAGAACCGGACCTCGTACGGGATTAAAGGTGCGTGTAGATAGATAGATGCATCGCCCTTCCTCTTTCCCCCTCCCCCTCCCCAAACCTCTCTCCTCTCTCCTCCATCCCCCCCTAAGCAACCCCCCTACAAACAAACCATAAACAAACCACCAAAAACCAAAAACCAAAAACCAAAAACCAAAAACCAAAAACCAAAAACCAAAAACCAAAAACCAAAAACCAAAAACCAAAAACCACAAACAAACCACTAACCCCCTCCCCGCCTCCACATCCAGACTCCCTTTCCCGCACCGAAGTAAGCGGCAACAAAGACGTCGACGGCATCCAGCACGCCGTGGGCGAAGCGGCAGGCAACGTCTTCGCCGAGGGGGCCGTCGGGGCCGGTGTCGGCAGGGTGGTTGACAAGGGGCTTTTGAGCCGTTGAGTCGTTGAGTCGTTGAGTCGTTGAGCCGTTGAGTCGTTGAGTCGTTGAGCCGTTGAGATTGGTAATAGGGAGGGGGAAGAGATGATTATAAAGATTGTTAGGTTTGAATCTGGGTTTGAATCTGGATGTGGATGTGGATGTGACTTTGACTTCCGCGGTACGGGCGGGTACATGACAGACGTGACATGTCATGGTACGATTTTGTTGTTTGGTTGATTCGTTGGTTTTTGCTTTGTATGCTATGCTAGGCTTTGCTAGGCTTTGCTATGCTATGCTATGCTTTGCTTTGTATGCTACCGGTATGCTATGTATGTATGCTACGCTATGCCACGCCATGCTCTTAATACTCACAACACACTACAATACAAACTCTCGCCAAGACCCTATTTCCGCTTTCCTACTTGCCTGCTTGCCTGCCTGGCCGACCGACCGACCGACCTATCTATCGCCGAAACGATAGTACACACCACCACCACCACCACCACCACCACCAGTCAGTCAGTCAGTCAGTCAATCAGTCAAAGAGCCGTGCTAGTATAGCCAGCCCTTCAACCAACCAACAAACAAACAAACAAACAGCATGGGAGACATCTGTCTGCCTCTGCCCCTCTCTCTCTCTCTTTACATCTACATAATAAGATAGATAAAATCAATTACATAATGAGATAAAGATAAAATGAATAATCACTAGACTCCCGCCACGCGGACACGGTTCATCTCCCATTGCTGTCAAAACTATCAAGATTAACATGGGAGACTCGCATTTGATCGTCTCGCTTCACGACTTATCTACCGCCGAAATCAGACGTAGAACGGAGGGCGGCGCCTCCGCATCCGTTGCATAGTTAGTTAGGAGCGGTGGTCTGAAACACCCCCCGCCCCCCCCGGCCAGCTCAACAGTCCCCGTGTGCAATTCCCGATACCTCTGCGTCCATCGGCGGCGGCAACGGCACGCCCGCAGCCCTCTGCAGGAAGGCGTCCTCGTCCACGCCACCGTCCGCCTGCTGCGGCATGTCGGGGCACTGGAGGATCGCATCCAGCTGGGCCTCATCTTCCGAGACACCGCTGCCCACAGAAGGACTCCGCGGACGACCCAACATCGTGCCATCGTCGTCCCACAGCTGACCCTCGGAGCGACTCCGCGTCAGCTGCTCCCGCGTAGGTCGGTACTCGTCCCTGACCTCCCGCGGATCGATCGCCGCCCAGCCGCCCACCAGCGCCGCCGCGACCTCCACCATCTCCGCGTACGCCGCGTTCCGCTCCGGCCGGAACATGCCACAGTGGGCCTCGATCTCCGACGTGGCGTTCCCGTTGGCCAGCTCCCGGAACAGGAGCGGCGGCCGATGTCGATTCGGATCCGCCCTCGGGTTCGTGCCCGGCGGGGCGCCATCGTCGCGATCGCCCTGATCGCCCGCCGCCGCGGGCACCGCGCAGAAGGTCCGCTTCGGCACCAGGTACCCCCCGCTCCAGGCCCCGTTCGCGCCCAGCGACGTGTACAGATCCGCGACGCCGACGCCGTCCAGCTGGCTCAGCCGCTCCAGCCGCGTCGCCAGCTGCGCCGGCTTCATCAGCGCCCCGACGAACTTCAGGTGGCCCGCCATCCACGCGAAGCCCTCGCCGATGCTCTCGCGGCTGACGTACGTCAGGCCGCGCGACACGCCGTCGCGGTAGCGGATGTTGTACGGGTTCAGATCCTCCTTGCGGATCTTGGAGAGCGAGTCGCGGATCGCGTCGCGGTGGGTGTACGCCGCGACTCCGCCCGCCGCAATGGCGCCGTAGGTCCCCGTCCGGGCTGCCAGCGTCTGCCAGCGCATCCACGACGATGCCTGGGCGGTCGGCGTCGTCGCCGCCAGAGCGGACGACGTCCCGGCTGCTGCGAGCGACGAGGAGACCGTCGCGAAGACGTTCCACGCCGAGCTCAGGTTCTGGTACTGCGCGAAGGCGCCGTAGGCGAACATGGACCGCGAGAGGCCGTTGTAGGGCGTGTCGAAGGCGAGGATGCCGTGGATGAGCGGGAACATCAGTTTCCGGGCCGGGTCGGCCGAGACGGGGCGGGTGTCGAGGACGGAGAAGAGCGTGTCAGCGGCGACGAAGCCGCCCATGGAGTGGGCGATGAGCACGACGCCGACTGAGGGCTCGAGAATGGCGTTCGCGTTGCCAGCGGCCTGCTCGAGGTCGGTGACTTGGTCTTGGAGCCTGTATCTGTCGCGTCAGCTCAGCTCCGGTCGGATCGGCTCTCTCTTTACAGCACGGCGTCTGCTTCAGCCCTAGAGCAGGAAGTGAAGTGGGCAGGAGAAACAAAACGCACCACTCTCGGAACGTCTCTACGCAGGCAGCCAGATCCCCTCGCGTCTCATACTTGGGATACACTCTCGTCTGCACGTCCAGCGAGGGCGATTGCGCCTCCACCGCGCCTCTCAGCGCCTGTATATATACACCGTTCCTATCAGCGTTGAATAAACGAATAAAAAATAAACGAATAAGAGAATAAATGAATAAGAAAATAAGCAACCCACATCCGGAAAGCGAAAGAACGTCTCCTCATCCCCCTTGAAGCCGTGTATGAAACACAGCAGCAACGTCGTCGTCGTCAGCGGCCGTGGCATCTTTTGCTTCGCTTCTCTCGTCTCTCGTCTCTCGTCTCACTGCATACCCCGTCAGGACCACCACCGTGCTCGCGAACAGACTGACTGATCACACGCCACAGAAATGAAGAGATTCCCTTCCTCGTGGGATCGTCAACCTTGAATCGGATTCACCTCTTCCTCGGCCACTTTGTAGGGTGATGTAAGGTAAGGTAACGTGAAGCACAGTAAGGTAAGGTAAAATAAGGTAAGGTAACGTAAGGTAAAGTAAAGTAACGTAAAGTAAAGCAAAGTAAAGTAACGTAAAATAAGGTAAGGTAAGGTAAGGCAAACCAAAGCAAACCAAACCAAAGCAAAGCCAAAGCCAGGAAAGTAAAGCCAGGAACAACCTCGCCACCAAGTGGCCACCCACACACCCACCCACCAGCCAGCCACGTACAACGCCGCATGCTCTACCAAGGATCCCTCCTTCCTCTCCCTTTTATCCCCGACGTGATCACGCTCACGATCACGCTCACGATCACGCTCACGATCACGCTCACGATCACGCTCACGATCACGCTCACAACGCCTCCCTCCGAAGCGACTAAACCGCCAAGAGGCCAAACCGCCAAGAGGGAAGCTTGAAATCAGGTTTATTGATTTGTTTGTTGATGTGTTTGTTGATTGATTGATTGATTGATTTGTTCGTTCATCCATCCATCCATTCACCCATCCATCCACCCATCTATTCACCCACCCATCCACCCACAACCAACCCATCCACCCTTCCACCCATCAACCCACCAACCTTCTATCCACTCACCTGTCACCTATCCACCCACCCACCAACCCATCCACCCACTCATCCAACCTTCTATCCACCCACCCACAACCAACCAACCCACCCACTCACCCCTTCTATCCACCCACAACCAACCAACCCACCCACTCACCCATGCACCTACCATACATCCATCCACTCATATATCCAAATCCACCATCCAGAATCCTCAACCTACAACTAACAACTCACAACCTACAACCCACAACTCACAACCTACAATCCACAACCCACAACTAACAACCAACAACTCACAACCCACAACTCACAATCCACAACCCACAACTCACAACTAACAACCCACAACTCACAGGCTTTTATTCCTCTTATTAGATATTAGCTTTTATCGATTACTGTTTACGATGCGGTCCCTCCGAGAGAGAGAGAGAGAGAGAGAGAGAGAGGAGGACGGACGAGAGAGAGAGAGAGAGAGAGAGAGAGAGGGAGACGGCGCGTAGTAGTCGAAGCTTCTTAGCTGTCTGTGACTGATCTGGTCAGATTCGAGGGAGGAATCCTCTCCTCTCTTCACCAAACCAAAAAGCGTCACATCATACTACGTTTATTCATTCGTTTATTTAAAAGATCCAAAAAAAACCCTTTTTGGATTATTAATTTTAGGAACCTCAAACAGACTTAAAATTAAATTACACAAGCCTTTCCTTCCTCCCTCGAGTTTTCTTTTCTTTTCTTTTCTTTCAGTCACATATTATAACATGATCACAGATAAACACACACGCACATATATATGAAAACCCTAACCAAATCAAAAAGCCTCCTCAACCCCCCCCTCCCCCTCCCCTCCCCTTTTTGTCGGCCGCCGCCACCGATCCAATACCCATCACCCCATTTGAAACGCCCCCGGAATCCGAATCGTCAACGTCGTCCCCCCAGCATTCGTCTCAACCTTAATCTCAATCCCGCTGAAACTGACATTCGCCGCCCCCTGCTGCGCGTGGTCAGACGCAGCAGCAGTCTTCTTCGCAAGCGCACCACTTGCACCACTCGCAATCTCGCTGACCTGTCCCAGCACCTGACCGTGGCTGTTCACAATCTCCCCGGCATCGTTGAGAGGACGAGGAGGAGGAGCAGGCTTGCCGCCGCTCAGCTGATGATCACCATCGCCGGAGACCTTTCCCTCCGTCTGGTCAGACGCCGAACCGAGCGCGTGACCGGCGGCCTTCTCGTCGTCGGCTGGCTGTCCGGCGTCGTGGAGGCCCTCGGAAGCCTGTCCGACGGCTCCGCGAGCGGTGTCTGGGCCTTGTCCTGCAACGTCCGGAACGCCGTTGACTTTGTCCCCGACGGCGTCGCCAGCGCCAGGCACCGCGCTGTCCGGAGCTCCGTTGGTGAGGCCCTGAGCTTGTTCCGTGGCGCCGCCAGCGGTGGAAGAGGCATCGCCGACCGTGGACTTGGCTTTGTCTTGGACGTCTCCTGCCGTCTTGCCCGCGGTGTCTTTGACACCGTCAACTTGGTTGGTCACTCCGCCGAGGGCATCGCCTGGCGATTTTCCGGCAAGGTCGGCAGCTCCCCCTAGATCGGGAGCGGCTCCTTGGGCTTGGTCCACTGCACCGTCAGCAGCAGTCGACTGAGCCTGATCTGCAGCATCTCCCGCGGTGGACTGCCCTTTCTCCAAAGCACCGCCAGCTGTAGATGCCGCGGTGTTCTTGACACCATCGACTTTCTCTCCAGCCGAGTCGGTGACTCCCTTGAGGAGTGGACCACCCGGGCTGCTCTTCTTCCTCTTGTCACCTGCAGGACGCTTGGAAGGCTTGCTTGGGGCTTGCTCGACAGGTTTCGAGACATCGCCCAACGCATCTCCCCCGACGGGAAGATCTGGTTTGTCGGGGAGGCTCTTCCCGAGCCCGTGGGCCTTGTCCGTAGCGCCTTTCGCAGTGTCTTGAGCTGCTCCCGGGAGCTTTGGGGCTTTGCTCTTCGCGTCATCCCCCGCTCCGTGGGTAGCCTTGCTGGTCTTCTCGACGCCCTGCTTGGCCTGTTCGGGGGCTGCAGAGACTGCATCCTGGGCTTTGCTTGGCCGGTCACCGACAGTGTTGGTAACACCATCCACGGGTCCGTCACCGTCCTCCTCGTCCTCGGACTCCTCGTGGTCATCCTCTTCGTCCTCGCTCTGCTCCTCGTTCGCGAGCTCAGGCTCAGATTCTTGGTCTTCGGAGTCATTCCCGGACTCTGCATGCTCCGGGACGTCTTCCTCCTCGGGCTCATCTTCATGCTCCGACTCGGAAGCCTCATGCTCCGGTTCCGGTTCCGGTTCCGGCTCCGGCTCGGGGATCGGCGCCGGAGCTGGACGCTTCTTCTTCTTCATGAGAGGCTTTGGCGCCGGGGTAGGAGATGGAGGCTCTCCGGCTGCCGATTCCTTGCGCTTGACGCTATGCTGAGCCTGCTCCGCTTCCTCGGGCTGCTTGACCGGGGAAGCGGCGGATTCGGGCTCGGGCGACAGAGGTGCCGGCTTCTTCTTCTTCTTCTTCATGATCTTCTGGGGCGGGTCCTCGGCGTCAACGTCTGGCGGGCCCTCGGAAGGCGCAGGTGTCGGTGGTGCGGCTGGGGGAGCCACATCGGCCGGAGGAGGCCTCGGCACCCTCTTCTTCTTCTTGAGAGGCGTTGCTTCGGGAGACGGGCGCTGTTCGGGTGCGGGAGGTGCTTTGGGCTTTGCCTGCGAGGCGTGCTTGCTGGCCGACTTGGTGGCATCGCTGGACGAAGGTACCTTCTTCTTGAGCGAGGTGGGGGACTTTGCCGGGCCGCCGTTCTGGTCGACGGCGGGCTGAGGCGTCTTGGGGACTGGAGGAGTCGACATGGTGTTGGGAGAAGATGCAGTCGTGGGGAATGGAGAGCTTGAGCTTCAAACTGGAGGAAGATGATAGATATTCGGGAGATTCAAGGGAAGGAGAGACGGTGAGATCATGTAGCTTTTTCTGCCCAAAGTTCCCGGATCGGGTGTGGGGCGTGGGGTGTGGCGTGTATGTAAGCTGGAGCATCATCATGATCATGATCATGATCGATCGGCAGGAGCCATGGCCTCATGCAATTCCCACTCGATTCCCCGCGACTCGAACACGGGTGGCGAGAGGTTCTCGTCATTCGCGGCCTGCCCCTTCCTTCCCACTGCCACTGCACCGGGCCAGAGTGGCACGCCCAATGCCATGCCGGGTCAGAAGTTGGAAGTGGGAAGGGGGAAGGAGGAAGTGGGACGAAGCGCTCGAATCCGGTTTTTTGCCCCTCTGCCACCCATCCACTGGCCTTCATAGCTCGTTCGTCTCACATGCAAGCCCTTGGGACGGAGGTGTGTGTGGCTGGCTGGTCGAGGAACGTCGAACGTCGAACGTCGATGGTGGGCTGGGCGTGGGAGAAGTCCCGCTCCTGCCCCTTATCCCCCGGCCGGGCCTTCCTCTCCGGACCTTATTCTTCAATGCCCCCCTGCGAGGAAAAACAAGCTTAGCTTAAGCGACTTCTCGGACTTGCAGGGGAAGTGACGAGCGCACTCACGGATGAAGTTTCGGTGCTGAGCTCGTTCGTGATATCGCCTTGCCGCAATGCCAGTCGCTGGCCAGGCGAACACTAGATGTAACGGCATCGTATCGGTCACAAAGGGACGCACGATCCAAATCCATCCAGTGCGTAGAAGATCGAGCGTCGTCCGGCGGTGGAACAAGGAGGTAATAAGCTGATACACACCTCTTCCCAGATTCCCGTATCGGATAGCCACGATGGGAGCTTCGCCGCTATCGCCAGTTCTCCGAGTCGATGATGGAGGATGAGGCGTGAAGCGTGCAGACGGGGGGTGGGGTGGAGACATGCCCCTGGTAAGTGCATGGAGGTGGAATATTACCTGAAGTAGCTTAGCTCCAGTCGCAGGCGTAAATAGCCGACCCGAAAACAAAAAAAACAAAACTTGTCCGGGTCGGGCTGGATATCCTTCTCTGCCAACAACGGTCTCTGGTCCGATGCACGAGACACACGATCAGCTTCCGATCGACGAATATTCCGCAATCCTTGATACGTGAGACGTGAGATGTGATACTTGACTTTCCTTTTCCCGGTACCGTTCCCGTCAGAACAATGGAGCCTGTGGCAAATGCACGCGTGGCTGGACTGGGCAACAGTCCGTACCGCACTGTACTGTACTGTACTGTACTGTATTCATCGCTTGACATGCTCCCATCCCAGCTGATGTCCATCTTCCCCCCCTTGAGTCGACGCGTGACCCCCTGACCGGTTGGATCAGAAAAAACTGGGATTAGGCGAAGCCCAGGTCAAGGATACATTGGATACACTGGATACACTGGATACACTTGGACAGCGACAGCCCAGCTATGATGAGAGGAGGCGTCATGCTCGCCTCACTTCTCCGTGACTGGATGGAGAGCAGCAAGCTTTCAAGGGCCATTGATCACAGTCCCCTGCCCAGATTGCGTCAGTGATCCGCGGGGGAGGGACGATAGTTAGCTAGCTCAGAGCAAGCTCTTGGGCCAGGAAATGCTCGCCCAGCCTGGAAAGGATCGAGAGGAACTCGAGACGATGGGAAAAAGGCTCTCAGTGGGAAGCTCGACGATGACGTCGGGTTGACAGCGGTTTCGTTGCTGGTTGCTACCTCTGGACCTACTAATACCTAAGTCGCAGCAGTTCGGCGTCTTGAAAGGGTCCTATCTCGCATACATCCTATTATACCCCCCGATCCATCCATACAGAAAGACACCTTCTGAAAAAAAAAAATACAAACCAAAGACATTACAAACAGACAACCTCACTTCGTGAAAATCACATACCGGACATCCATCCCCCCGGGACAAGACACTCCATCGCAAATATGGCCGATGTCCCCCGATCCCCCTCCATGCTGAAGCAGCAGCGCACCCCGAGCAACAGCGGTGTCCCTCGCTCCACCAAGAAGAAGACCCCGCAGTCGAAGTGGGAAGAGGCACAGAAGGTGGACGAGGCCAAGGAGAGCATCCAGGAAGACAACGAGAGCCAGGCAGAAGACAGCAACCTCGAGGCCGCCACGAACGACGGCCAGGAGGAGGAAGGCACAGAGGCGGATGACGAGGAAGGCACCGAGGTAAGCCTGTTCTATCGGAAGCGTCTTCCCTACTCCATGCTGTTCCAGCGCTTCTATCCCTCGGTGCGTGGCGCCTTGTTGAGACGCAGATGGGGCGCGCTTGGCCATGTATACAGACATGCTGACATGAGTATCTCGGATCTAGGTTGTTCCAGCGGGCACCGTCAGCGATGGTGTCGTCCTGGACCGGGACGGCAATACCATCGGACGTGTCAGAGGCGAGGCCTCAGAGCTCGAGGGTTCCATGGTAGATGAAGAGGGTGACATTCTCGACGAGGAAGGCAATGTCATCGGCACAGCCGAGTTGACGAAGGCCTCGGCGCTGGGCACCGAGAAGCCAGACCTCACGGCCCCATTCGGTGTCCAGGACAACGGGGAGATCACCAATGCGACGGGAGGCGTGGTCGGAAAGCTCTCGGAGGGCAAGCCGCAAGACCTCGTCGGGACGGCCATCACATCGATCGATGCCGATGGAGTCATGAAGGCAGAGACCGGAACCACCCTGGGCAAGGCAGATCTCAAACCCGATCTCCTGGACGATAATCCAAGCGAGGCCGAACTTTCAGAGAAGGCCGATAGTGCGATCGACGTGAAGGACCATGAAGCGACCACGGCCGACCTCCCTGAAGAGGTCAAGTCCCAGAAGCCTCTCAGCAACCTTGGTTCGAAGGCAGCTCCATCTAAAATTGGATCAAAAGGAACCGCAACCGTGAAAGCTCCCAGAGACGTCAAAGCTGGCGAAGATGTCGAAGCTCCCGAAGGCGCCGAGGCTCCTGAAGGTGTAGAGGCTCCTGAAGGCGTCGAAGTTTCCAAGGACATCGACTCGCCCGAAAACGTTGAAGTACCTAAAGCTTCTGAGAGCGCTGAAGTAGCCGAGGGCCTCGAAGCGAAGGCCGCAACATCCGAAGTCGAAGACGGATCCGAGGCAGTGAAAGACTTGGGCCCCAAGGATTCGGCCTCTCAAGTCGCTAAGGGTACCGACGACGTGGTGCCCGGAGAAGTAGACTCGGCTTCGCAAGTCGCTGAAGATTCCAAAGACTTGGGCCCCAAGGATTCGGCCTCTCCAGTCGCTGAGGGTGCCAAGGACGTGGTACCTGGCGAAGTGGACTCGGCCTCAAAGGTCGCGGAGGGTACCAAAGACCTGGGACCTAAGGATTCGGCCTCCCAAGTCGCTGAGGGTGCCGACGACGTGGTACCCGGAGAAGTAGACTCGGCTTCCAAGGTGGCTGAAGTTACGAAAGACTTGGACCCCGAAGATTCTGCTTCTCAAGTCGCTAAGGGTGCCAAGGACGCGGTACCTGGAGAGGTAGCATCGCCAGCCCCAGCTGACACTGATGCCGTAAAAGACCTGGGTCCCGAAGAGGCAGACTCACAAGCCCCAGGTGTTGTTGACGCCGAGAAGGACGTGGACTCGAAGGACGCCCCCGAGGCCGAAGTCAGTCAGGACCCCGAACAGCTGAACGAGCTCGACCCCAAGCCTGTTGACGCGGCTGAAGTCGAGCAAGAGGCACCTGCTGGTGAAGAGGCTGAAACCGACCCAGAAACTCCAGAGCTGCCCGATCTGTCCATTCTCAAGGACAAGAAAGTCAACAAACTCGGAAAGATCGTGGATGAGAAAGGGAACCCCTTCGGACAGCTTGTTTCCGGCGACGCCAAGAAGCTCTTTGGCAAGAAGGTTGACGCCGAAGGCCAAATCTGGGACGACCGGGGTAAGGTTATCGGGAGGGCCGAGCTCTTGCCAGAAGAAGAGCGCCAGGTGGAGGAGTCCGCTCCCTTCGAGGACTTTCCCGACAGTGTTCTAGATAAGGACGGCAATGTCATCTTTGAGGGCAAGATCGTCGGGAAGTTGATCGAGGGCGACGCTAGAAAGCTGGAAGGCAAGAAGATCGATGCCGATGGAGATGTGCTTGATAAGAATGGAAACACTCTTGGAAAGGCAGAGAGATATCAGGAAGAAGATGTTGTGCCCGAGGAAGAGGTCCCGGAAGCGCCAGTTGATCTCTCTCTCTTGGAAGGCAAGAAGGTCAACAAGGCTGGCTATGTGGTCGACTACAACGGGAAGCTTTTCGGCAAGGTTGTCACGGGAGAGGTTGCCAAGCTAGTTGGTAAGAAGGTTGACGCCGAAGGCCAGATCTGGGACGACCGAGGCAAGGTCATCGGAAAGGCCGAGCTCTTGCCAGAAAACGAGCGCCAAGAGGAAGAGTCCGCTCCCTTCGAGGACTTCCCCGATAGTGTTCTAGACAAGGACGGCAATGTCATCTTTGAGGGCAGGATCGTCGGGAAGTTGATCGAGGGCGACGCTAAGAAGCTGGAAGGCAAGAAGATCGATGCCGATGGAGATGTGCTCGACAAGAATGGAAACACTCTTGGAAAGGCAGAGAGATACCAGGAAGCGGACATCGAGGAAGAAGCCCCGGAAGCGCCAGTTGATCTCTCTCTCTTGGAAGGCAAGAAGGTCAACAAGGCTGGCTATGTGGTCGACTACAACGGGAAGCTTTTCGGCAAGGTTGTCACGGGAGAGGTTGCCAAGCTGGTTGGCAAGAAGGTTGACAAGTAAGTCATGGCTCAGCCAGCTCCGTCTGGACTTTTCTTCGGGCAGTTGCTAACATCATTCGTTCTAGGGAGGGAAAGATCTGGAGCGAATCGGGCAAGGTCATTGGCACTGCAGAGCTCCTGTCAGTTGACGACAGAGACGAGTTGTCGTCATCCCCATTCGAAGACTTCCCTGATGCTCTCGTTGAAAAGACAGGCAATGTCGTTTATGAAGGCGTTGTAGTCGGACGACTCATCGAGGGTGACGCGAAGAAGTTGGCTGGAAAGAAGGTCGACGCTGATGGTGATGTGGTTGATCGCAGTATGTGTTTCCCGAGCCCTAAAATGACCAAGAAAGTGAGCACTAACTCGCAGTAGTCGGTAACGTCCTCGGAAAGGCTGAGCGATGGACCGAGGAAGAAGTTCCGGAGCCGGAGCCCGAGAAAGTCGATCTTTCTGCGCTGGCTGGGATGAAAGTAAACAAGGCCGGCAATCTCGTGGACTCTCACGGGACCATCTACGGCCGAGTTGTTCCCGGCAGCGACATCCAAAAGCTGATCGGCAAATCGAGCGACAAGAATGGCCAGATTTGGGACGCCAGTGGTAATGTAGTCGGACAAGCAGAGCTTGTACCAGAGAGTGAGAGAGCTGGTCTGAAAGAGGGACCTTTCACTGGCTTCGATTCGCCAACTATCAACAAGGACGGAAAGGTTGCGGATTCGAAGGGCGCCATCATCGGACGTCTCATTGAGGGAGATGTCAAGAAGCTTTACGGCAAGAAGGTTGATGCTGACGGGGACGTCATGTATGTTTTTCCAACGCACAATTTACGTCGGAACAGTACTGACTATGAAGCAGTGATAGCAACGGCAACTCCATCGGCAAGGCCGAGCGTTGGGAGGAGGAAGTGAAAGAGAAAGCCCACAGCCCCGTCGAAGGTCGCAAGGTCAACCGCGAAGGCAACGTTGTCGATGAGAACGGGGATCTCATTGCCAAATTGACGGTAAGTTCTACCAGCACATCTCACATCTCACACCTTCCACCCAACACAACACATACTAACATCGTGACAGGACGGCGAGATCACTAAGTGCGCTGGCAAGGAGATTGACGCTGATGGCGATGTCTACAACTCCAAGAACCAAGTCATCGGCCACGTTACCCTTCTCAGTGAAATCCCAGCCGAGCCCGAGCCCGAGCCGGAGCCAGAGCCAGAGCCCGTTGTCGAAGAGCCCAAGGAGACGCAAGAGGAGATCGAAGCTCGACAGAAGAAACAGAAGGAAGAGGAGCAGCTCGAGGCCGACCGGAAACTGGCTGGCCGGATGTCGTTCACGGTACAGGAGACCATCGACAAGCTGAACCCGCTCCTCAAGAACATCATGGACGTGAGTATTCGCCACGGAAGCATATACAAGAGTATGGAGCGATATCTAACATGAAAATCTCCAGGAAATCGAGTTCGTCGAGCGCCAAAAGGAGGAAGAGCGCGACGAGCAGAAGCTCGTCGACAAAGTCAAGCCCATGATCGAAGAGGGCGGCCGCGTCCTCACCGAGACCAACGGCGCGATCCGCGGCATGGATCCCGATGGGAGAATCACCGCCAACGCCAAGCAGAAGGCAGCGACCCGAGAGGCCACGCCCGAAGAGCACCATCTGGCTGAGGTGTTGAAAGAGGTAAGCCTTCGCAGCACCACAGACTATAGGAAAACTGTTAGCGAACTCCAGACTGACTGTATCCCGTTTTCTACAGTTGACCGGCAACGTGACCCAGACCATCGAGAAGGCAAAGAAGAAGATTGCCGGTATGCCGCATGCGAAGAAGGAGCTTAACCCTCTCTGGGGATTGCTTGCGGGTAAGTCCCCCCGTTGGAGGGAAAGTCGTACACACCGCGCGAACACCAGCTAATGTTGGCACAGAACCCTTGGGTCAGATCCTCGCTGCTGTCGGTCTGCTGCTCAGTGGTGTCCTCGGCCTCGTTGGGAGGCTGCTGCAGGGACTGGGTCTTGGAGGCTTGCTGGATAACCTGCTCGGCGGCTTGGGTATCAAGGGGATCCTGAAGGGCCTTGGCCTCGGGACACTGACTAGCGCTTTGACGGGGAGGAAGTGAGTGTGAGTGTGTGTGTGAACGAGCTTGCTGACGACTGGTGTGTGTCTGGTGCGTAACTTTGGATGGCCGGGCTGTTTTTGTAGTTCTACATGTATAGGAAGTAAGCCGGCGTTTGTTCTCTCAAAATGGATTGGATTGTTACCATATCTGACGAGTCTTGTAATAACTTGACGAATTATCTTGGCTCATTTCTGATTCAGCCATACTCTCTGCCTTTCTCATCAATGCGGCATTTGCCAGTGCCTTCTTACCTGCCTGCATGCGTGCTTCTCAGACGCGTAGGCAGATGTTCCGGTTAAATTAGCAGCGAGCACATTCAGGCCCTCATGCTCCGTAATCATAGCGTAGACCATGCTCTTTGGGTATCTATATATATATATAATTTTTTAAAAATTTTTCTTTCTTTCTTTGATGGAACTCGAACTTGCCGTGGTGTATCTAGATGAACGGACCAAGTTACGCGTCCAACAACACGTCCACGACAGCTCTAGAGAGTCGCGCGATCTCGATCTCGCTCACGGGACGCGGCAAAGAGAGAAAGAAGGCTGAAGCGAAGACGATGTGTGACGTGGTAGGATTCAGGAGGAGAGGAGAGAGGGGAGAGGAAGAGAGGAGAGGAGGAGAGGAGAGGAGAGGAGGAGAGGAGAGGAGGAGGAGAGGAGAGGAGGAAGAAGAGAATGAATCCTTATAAGGCGACAACCCCGAATTTAGCGTCCGGTAAACGAAAAAACGTCAAGATCAAGAGAAACCCGGCGCGCTCTTCCTCGGGCGCGCCCAGAGCTGTTCGTCTGCCTCTGAACGGTTGGTGGTGGATCGCTGCTGCTGCTGCTGCTGCTGCTGCTGCCTTTTCACCGGTCCTCGTCCTCGTTGCTTGGCTGGGGCTTTCGGCGTTCGGCGCTGTTGGATGGGCCCTATGTTATGGCCGCGGGCGTTTGGTTATTACCTGATTCGGATATCTCTCGCTCGTGATTTCTGTGGCGCTGCTCGTGGTGGTTGTGGTGCTGATGCTGATGCTGATGGGGTGGAGTGCGATCGGATTGAGGCGTGGGAAGTTTTTGAAGCTTTATTGAGAGGGGGAGGGGGGGGGACGGGTTGGGGATTGGGATTGGAGCTGAGTGGTGGGATCTTGTGTGACGCTTTTGCTTTGGAGGAGAGAGAGAGAGATAGTGATAGTGATGGTGATAGTGATAGTGATAGCAATGACATTTATTGCATGCGTACTTCGGATGGAGAGAAGTGTTCAGAGGGTTGGCGCTCACGCGTGTTGTGCGGGAGTCGTGGTTGACGAGGTGAGATTCGAGAGAGACCGGCGAGGGATTGGAGAGAGGGGGCTTTTGCTGCAATGTGTTCTGCTCGGGTGAATCTTAGCGATAATAGGCAAGTTCGATTTTAATAAAATAAAATAAAAATTTGACGTCAATGAGTATTTCATTGCTCTGGCCTTTGCTCGAGATCACGTGGACGGGGGTTTCTCTGCTTTCCAGCTTGGTAGCACAGGTCGGTCGATACTTGAGATTCGAGGCTTCGAATCTGTGTACCTGATACGTGCTTGCTTCCATGATATCTTGTTGGAAGCATGAGCTGTGAGGTGTACAGCGTGGAGAGAATGACAGATGTAGTGGCGTATAGCTCCAGCGTATATAACACCAAGGCAGTAAGTACGTGAAGGAGTGCAGCTGTTGAGTCGGTCTCAGCCCGCACTTTGTCCGCGGTGGCTATTCTCTAGGAGCATACCACCGCAGACATAGGGGAGCTACGCAGTGCGATTGCCCGTGGCAGTTCTTGAGTCACGCAAATCCAAATGAAAGCGAAGTCGCGAGAGCGCTATGAGAAAGTTATTTGAAATCCCGAGACGTGCACCTGGGACGTACTGAGCGACCCAAACTTTTGCGTCCCGACCTTGTGATGGCCGTGGAGAGAAAGCCGGGACGCGGTTTGGGCCGTCGGCAGTCGCCAGCACAGGCCGCTTGCAGAGGTTGGCTACTCTGTACCGGTACATACAAGTGCCGGGAGAAGAAAACTGTCACTTACTGTAGTTGCCGATGGGTATCTCGCGCCTTGAATTCGTCCAAGGGTCCCTTTTGGGGGGGGGCGTTGCTTATTATGACCCCGTCTAAGCGTCTCGTCAACGCCACTCCGCTTGCTTTCATCTGGCCGTCCGCTTGCCAGCGACCTTTCGAGCTATGCCTCGTCGTACAGCTGGATTGATACTCCACCACGCACCACCCGGTTCGGAACCATGCTGTTCCCGTTCCCGTACAGGCTCCGACTGAAATGCCGTAGAAGCACTTTTCCCGTCCTCCGCACTGACTTATTGCACACGGAAAAGGACGTCCTGAGCGAGGCGCGGCTGGCTGGCTAGGAGCGTTCGACGTTTGGAGACCGCGGCAGTGGCTCGGGAGATATGATAAATTATTGTCTCTAGCTCTCACTATGACTGCTCCTAGAGAACAGGAATGATCGAAGGGATTCCGAATAAATACTTACTCAAATCTCTTGCCTGATCCCGACAATCATCATCCAATGTCATAAATCCAATCCATCAAGGCCTCATTCGATCAAGACCACAGCCGAACCCAACACGAGACCAGTTCAAAAGTCATCGGGTCAGTTTCCAGTGATAGTAATTTTTCTGTCCCAACCTACCAAGCTCGGATTCGGCACCGAGGATCGATCGAGCGGCAATGGCGACGCCCTCCACACATGGCCTCGTGGGCGAGCAGAAGGGACCGTTCACCAGAATCCTAAGCGAGACGACGTCGAATCCTTCCCTCGACGGCGGTGGCTCGATGGAGTCTGTCCGGAAGCCAAGCGCTCTGCGCAGGATCGGACAGAGGATTGTGCAGCGTGCGAAAGAGCATCATGAGAGTGTGAATGCGGCTTCTGCGGCGTACCATGGACAGCCTGCATTTCATCGGGCGACGCGTACCAACGGATATGCGACGCGGTGAAGGGGGGAGTGTGCAACTTTGATGGAAAGGGAGGCGAGGAGTTATAGGTGGGTATGGATGATATGGTTGTTCGAGGGCTCGGTTAATTATGGAGGGGGGGCAAAACATGGAGAGCGAGGAGTCAGGTCGTCGGCAAGTTTTGGGATAGAGGAGCAGCATTTCCAATCAACGGTGGATATTAAGATTATCATCTCGTCTCTCTTCTGCTGTCGCAGCAGGAGTGCACGTATGGATACATACACTGCCACTGATTTTTTTTTTTTTTCCCTTCTGGTTTCATGGGCTGCTCATTGCCAAAGCCATGAGCTTCGTGACGTCCGGCGTACCAAGCCCCGTCACGGCATCCCATCCGGTCGTCGCGTTCCAGCCAGCGCCAGCAATCAGCTTCGGTCCGAGAGCAGCGGACAGCGTCGCTCCTGTGAAGGGGTTCTTGCCCATGCATCCCACCGACCTCCCCACCGTGATGTCGGTCATGCCCGCCAGACCCGTACTGTACAGCCAGGGGTTCAGGAACCCGAGGGGAGCCTTGTTCTGGGCGATCAGGGCACTGTTGACCATTCCGATGAGCCCGGCCCAGGTGGGAGATGCCGCACTGCGAGACGATCTCTTGTAAGTACTCGTCGACATCCACGACAGAGGGGGGGGTGAGGATCTAGATAACAAGCTTACCTGGTGCCCGCAAAGCCACGAGCCTTCCCCCGCTCCACGAACGTCAGGTTGTAGCTCTGGGCCGCCACGTCCGGGAACCCTCTCCCCGTCGCGTTGAACATGCCCGGGAACTGCGCCGCGTACGGTGCCGCGTACGCCGGCACGGCATTCTGCTGGTAGACCGGCATCGCGAACTTGTCCGAGAAGCCACCGGCCGAGAACGAGACGGCGGTCTCGGGGCCGACGCCCTTGACGCCGCCGACTGCCGTGACGTAGGGGCAGGAGCCCGGGAAGATGGGCGTGAAGCGGGCGACGCTGCCGTCGTTGTTGGTGCAGGTGGATCCCGGGCCGGAGTCGCCGCTGGCGGCAATCATGGAGACCCCGCGCGCGCCGAGGGCGCCGAACTGGTTGCATACTTGCTGCACGTAGCCGTCGGGGAGGCTCTGCTCGTCTTCGCCGAACGAGGTCGTGATCGTGTGCGGCAGCTGGGCGTCGGGGAGGGCGAGCATGGCGTCGAGCCACTGGAGCCACGGCTCGGTCCCATCGCCGGGCTGGTTGCCGAGCTCGGGCTGGATGGGTCCCCGGCCGCCGATGGAGAAGACGACGTTCGGGATGGGGGCCGAGAGGGACGCGGAGTATTGGACGTCGAAGTTGGTTTCTTGGTCAGAGTCGACGGTGTCGTTCTGGTTCGCGACGCCGTCGAGGCCGCCGTTGACGCTGAGGAATGTGAAGTTTGCCTTGGGATCAGTTTAGCTTGAGCGCAGGAGACGGCGAAACGGGTTTACATACCCCCATGGCTTTCGGGTCGACGTTCTGGGTGAAAAGCTTGAAGTCGCTGAACTTGGCGATCTGTTGCTGAGAAGCATAGACTCCAATGCCTCTTGAGCTGCTGAGAGTCATGTTTGTCGGGACGTTGTAAAGTGCTCGTAAGCAGTCGGGTGTGACGGTCTGGTTACATATAGGATCAACAGCCCCCCTTGGTGAGATTATCGGCTCCTCTCGCCTGAATGCTCGTCGGTTGGGCAACTTGGTCCCTATTACTGGTGCAAAAATACCCCTCCTCAAGTCCTGGTGTTGTGCGGATGGCTGCATCGACTTCATATTACAGAAGCGAGTCGTTGGAGAGATCAGCGAGATCTTGCTGTGGAGCGTAGCCGGGACCGAATAGCGCAACGTCCTGAGCACCTCTTTACCATTGCCTGCGTTCCGATACCACTTGAAGTTCGCAGATAGCAGGGCATTCGCCGACTTGACAGTCGTGTTGAACCTGATCCAGTGGCTATCGTCCGATACGATTGTGACATCATGCTGGGCGAGCCAGCTAATTATTTGAGAGTGAGATTCGGCATCGGGGCGGAGCAAGGATTGGGCCTCTTCTCTGGTCAAGTGTCTCCTGTATTGGGAATGGCTGGGTGTTGAGATCTTGTACAGTGTAGCTTCTATATGAGCACCTCGCTGCAGCGCAATAGAGAGTTGGAGAGCTTGGTCCGGGGATGCAGTCCGAGAAGATGTCCACGGATATGGAGCATTGCGCCGGTCCTCGACGCGTTGAAGGTTGTTCGGCGGAAGTGCAGAAGCGACAGTAGAAATTACGATTGAAATGAAGGATAAAGAAAGCAACATGTTGGGCCAGCCTTCTAATAGAATCGAACGTGCGAACAAAAAAGGAAACAAACAAAGTAATAAAATAAAAAACGACAAATAATAAGCTGAGATTGGAACCCTCAAATCGATCTTCAACTTGAAGTATGGTAATTGCAACCGTCAACAGATTTCCATCTGGCAATGTCCAGATCCGACTGGTCTGAAATTTCCCAGCCGATGACTACGACACATAGCCGGCTCGCTCATGAACCACACCGAAACATCCTTAAATGCAAAGACGAACGAAATTTCCCATTCGGCGATTCGATCTGCTACCAGAATGTAACACCACTGGTGCAATCAACAACAGTTGAAACCCAACGAGATGGTTTCACCAGATGTTTCCGAAGCCTCACCTTCATCCATCGCCTGCAGAATACCTGCTGAAAGTACGTTCCTCCACAGGAACCTCTCCCAGCCCCTAGTCGGGGGCATCAGAGAACCAGACCAAGCCAGGTTTGGGGAGCTGTCTCGGGAGCTTTCGAGGAAATTTCAGAGCGCTTGAATGTTTTCTTCGCTTGGGCCTAAGCGAGACTCCTGAGCAACGACAAGCAGAAGTACAAGTGAGATAGTTTTTCACACGGTAGCTTTGCTTATCCTCGAATACCTAGTGCGTGTCTTGATAGCCGCAAATTCAGAGTCGTTTTTTCTGGAGTCGTCGAAGGTGATCATGGCATTGCCGCTCCCTCTAGCGTGCATGCGCTAAGATGGCCAAGAGTGGTTTCCAGGGCTTAGCCCTCCCAGGTCCTGGGCATCGTTCGCTGAAGCTGTTTCAGAAAAAAAAAATTTGAAGGAAAAAAAAAGGGAAAAGATCAAATGTACGTACGTACGGAGGTACCTCTTTACTGTAGTACTAGTTCGATGCCTGATGATATAATTAAAAAGTGCGGAGTTTAAGTTGTAAAATTTGTCGAACGCTATATATATTCACCATCTTCTTACGACGCCATCGTCAGCTCGGCCTGGTGGCCTAATGGTAAGGCGTTGGTTTCCGGCTCGCTGTGAACATACCAAAGACTTCGGGTTCGAGTCCCGACTGGGTCGTTGATTATAATAATGTGCAAAGTTTTTTGCACGTCACCCCACAATGTTTATTATGTGCTGAGAACAGGCCCGGATTATCAGATGTGAGGCATTATGCTTTTTTGGATGCCCCTCACCCCCAAATTCGCAGCCCTGGATAACGTCCGATCAATAACTTTTAATGCATCCCAACAACAACGCTTGTAAAGCGTCGTGCAACGAACGAAAGAACGACAATGCAATTGGGCACAGCTCGGTAACGTTATCGTGACGTTTAGAGAATGGGCTGTCTGCAAAGCTGAAGGCCGAGGCATGAGGAGTTCCCCAGTTCTAGGAAAAACCGCCTTTCCAGCATCTTGAACTCCATCTTCGGAATACTACATGATGGCTGCTCACGCAGACTCCTCTGTTGACAATGATACCGAGCGTCTCCCTCCCCCTCCTCGACCCTCAATGTCCTTGAGTCCGCCTCGACTTCTGATCATCGGAGCTGGGTCTCGAGGGACAGCCTACGCCAGAGCTACTGGGGCGTCGACGAATGGAATTATCGTTGCCGTTGCGGAGCCCGTGGCATATAAGCGGAAGTTGCTCGGGGACACATACATCTGGGGAAAGGCAGGGCCATCAGATGGCCAGGAGTTTGAGGGGTGGAAGCAGTTCCTGACTTGGGAACAGGAGAGACGGGCGAAGGCTGCGAGAGGAGAGGATGTACCAGAGGCCATCGACGGCGTCTTCATCTGCGTACTCGATGAGATGCACAAGGAGGCTATTGTCGGGCTCGCTCCTCTGGGTCTGCATATTATGTGCGAGAAGCCTCTGGCGACGAGCCTTGCCGATTGTGTCTCTATCTACAAATCCCTCCTCCCAAACCTACCAGATGCGACTCCTTCCAAGATCTTCTCTATCGGCCATGTTCTCAGATACAGTCCCCACAATATGCTTCTGAGGAAGCTTTTACTGGAGGACAAGGTCATTGGGGATATCATGTCGGTAAACCATACCGAACCTGTCGGGTGGTGGCACTTCACCCATAGCTATGTGAGGTCTGATGCTCTACTCTGTCTATAGTTCAGTAGCTAACATATCCCAGGGGAAACTGGCGTAAAGAATCAACAACTGCGCCGTCCCTCCTCACCAAGTCCTGCCATGATATCGACGTGCTCCTCTGGCTCCTCTGCTCCCCACCACCTGGCTCGACCGCACCCGCACACATTCCCACTACTGTTACTTCGCTGGGAGGTCTACAATACTTCAAAAAGGGCAGAAAGCCGAAGGCTGCGGGGAATGCTACCAACTGCCTCTCTTGCCCTGCCGAGCTATCTTGCAAATACTCTGCAAAGAAGATCTATCTCGGGAAAGAGCTAAAAGGACTTGGTTCAGGAAACACATTCTGGCCGGTGAATATAGTACTCCCCGAAATCGAAGACTGCATCTCCTCGGGAGACCTTGCCGGCGGCGAGGCTGCGTTGACATCCAAGCTTGCTGAGGACTATACCAGCGACACTCCAGAGTCCGAAGTGTCGGCCAAGAACTGGTTTGGGCGCTGTGTATACGAAGCAGATAACGATATCAACGACGACCAAGTGGTAACAATGCAATGGGAGGACGATCCAGTGGCGACCCTCGATGGTGATACTGCGCAAGTATTAGCCGGCCGAGGCGCCAAGACTGCAGTCTTCCACATGGTGGCACATACCAAGAAGCAGTGTGATCGATACAGTCACTTCTACGGTAACGATGGCGAGATCTATGCGGATAGTGAAACCATCACCGTGCAGGATTTCAACACGGACGCGACCAAGATATACAAGCCTCACCTGGCTGGCGGGGGCCACGGAGGGGGCGATGACGGGCTCGCGAGACAATTCATCCTGGCTGTGGATGCGGTCAAGAACCACGGTGTCAGCGTGCAAGAGGCTCAGCGGCTCCACGTTGGCTGCAGCTTGGAAGAGGTCATCCGAAGCCACGCCATGGTCTTTGCAGCCGAGCAGGCTAGACTCGGAAAGCAAGTGCTGGCCTTCCCGCAGTGGTGGACCGATAACGTGGAGGCGCGTCTCTTTTAGTAGCTGGCTGTTTTTTTTTTTGTCTTTTTTTTTAACATCCCTTAGCCCCTTAGCAGAGTCAATGAAGATATCACAATATTTGAAGTCTAATGCCATATGTTCTATTCCAGACCTCCCAGCCAGCACGGGTGTTAGTACTGATGTAGGTTTTAACTTTTCGTCAGTGTATCCCCCTTTCTTTCCTCCCATTGTTGGCATATGTATATCCAGGATCATATACATATAAACGCATCCAGCTCAGCTACTACTGCTCACGACAAGCAAGAGCTTATTCTTCTCGAAACAAACCACCCATACAGCGAGCGTATTGACGACTACCTACCTATGTGTGTGTGTGTGTGTGTGTGTGTGTGTGTATGTGTGTGTCCACCACCGTCCACAAAGTCTTTACTGGTCTAAGCTGTAGGCCGGTCTTTCCCCTGTCGATATTTGTCACGGATTAGATCTTGCTTGTTAGCCAGGTGAGTCTATCTAACCTGTTCGTCAACCTGTTCGTCTAACCCATTCATCTAACCCATTCATCTCAGCCTCCCCAATATATATATATATATATATATATATATAGAAAGAGACAGAAGACATCCCACGTAGGTATGTTTACAGCCAGTCAACGCCGTGACTATTAAATTGACGGATAAAAATCAACGAAAGACGTAAAACAATAGCATAGCAATAGAGTAGGTAGACAGACAGACAGAGAGAGATATGCACGTCTTATCTTATCTTATCTCATTTCATTCATTTCATTCATTCATCAATCTACTTACTTACTTACTCTCTCTCTCTCTCTCTCTCTCTCTCTTCTCCCCTCTCCCCCCTTCAACCCTCCCTCCCTCCCCTCCAGCTCAGCTCAGCTCAGCTCAGCTCAGCAGCCGATTCTAAAGCTCGCGATGCAACTCCCCCTCCCCCAAAGAAACCTGAAGAAAAAAAAAACAAAAAAAAAACCCCCCATCAAATATATTTTAAACATGGGACGGAACGCCCGCTCCTAGCCTCCCTATGCAAGTATGCAAGTATGCAAGTATGCAAGTATGCAAGTATCCAAGGTATGATATATATATATATATAAGAAAACCCGGCCAAGCGCTGAAGCCCAAAAAACTCTTTCAATCAGGTAATCAATCATGCGAGTAATCAATCAAGCGAGTAATCAATCAAGCGAGCATTGAAAAAGAAGAAAAAACAAATCTTAGGAGGAAAAAGAAAAAGATTTTTAGAGAAGAAAAAAAAAGGGATTTATACAGAAACACATACATGGACATGGACATGCACATACGTGTGTGTACATGCACATTTCTCTCATACCCCGTCACCCGCCCTTCTTTCTTTCTTTCTTTCTTTCTGGATCAGTTCTGCGACTGACTCCGCTGAGCCGATCCAAGCCAAACCCAGCCAAAGCCAAGTCATAGGCCAGCCAACCCTCACTTTCTCTCTTTCCTCGCGTTTACTTTCGCTTCTTTCCTTCAACTCGTCATACAAAGTGACCTTTTTCTCTTCTTTCTATCTTCTTCCCCCCCCACCTCCACACCCCCATCCTCTCCCCCTCCCACCCTCACCGTCTTCGTGATATTGGAGAGAGAGAGCCGTGAGCCAGTTCGATATGGCATCAAAGAAACGATCACTTATTCCCTACCAACTTACGACTTGCCTTGGTGATAATGTCCGCCGCCTTGGCAACCTGCGCCTGGGCCAGCGTCCAGTTTCGCGCATCCACAGCGTCGCGGATGGCCGGGAAAAAGGCCGTGTCGTAACCGGACCAGAGCTGTGGGCCGAAGAGGACGTGCTTGAACTGGGTTCGGTTGGGGATCTATGCACCGCCGTGAGTCAGAAAACAAACAGCCTCGCTTGGGTGCGATAGGAGTATAGGGAAGGAGATTGAGGGAGGTTTGATAGAAGTTATAAGTGAATACGCCCATGCAAAATAGAACGAGGGAGACTTACACCACCACCCTCCTCCAGATCCAACAGGTGCGTCTCAAAGTTCGCCATCCGATTATTGTGGCTCATCCGATGCGCTGCCAAGACCGCACTCTCGAACCCGCTGCCGCCCAGCACGATACCATCCCAATCGAGCTCCCATTTCTCAAATAGCTTCGCGTCTTTCGCAAACTGTAGCACCGCCTCTCTCAGCGGCTCGATGCTCCAGGGAGTGTTGCCCGCGATGTTGGCGCCTTTGTCGCCGACCCAGTTGTCGAGCTCGATCACCCACATTGTGAGGGCGGTTGAATAGGCTGAGATGTCGAAGGGGAGGACGAGCCGGTCGGAGAATTCCAGGATGAGCAGGGTCCAGACTTGCGCGAGCATCTTGTGGTATTGGAAGCCTGGATCGCCGACGGTGTCCATCCACTCGAACGTGTCGTAGGCGGAGTGATACGGGTGCGGAGGGCCGTCAAAACCAATATCGAGACTGGACGTCCCAGCCATGTCTTGGAAAGCAACGTAGTCGCTGCCAGCGCCCAAGCCTTCCAGCTCCCCACCACGTTGGTCCCAGAGTGCGCGGAGCGTGGCGTTCTTGCTTAAATCGCTGACGCGATCCAGTGCCCGTAGAAGGGATTTCTTGAACATAGGACTGCCGGAAGCCTTGAACTCTGTGCCGCCGACTGCAACATCAACGTTGATATAGGCGTATCCATTTTGCCGTAAGCGGTCCATGTTGTTCTCTACATATTCTGTAGAGCCGATGAGGTTGTACTCCTCGCCGTCCCATGAGGCGAATTCAATAGTGCGGAGAGGTTTCCAGCCGCGCTCTACCAGATCCCCGAAGATGCGGATCACTTCTAGCATGACTGCTGTTCCAGAGCCCGGATCTGTAGCACCGTAGACCCAGGCATCGCGGTGGTTGCCGACGATGATTGATTTCTCTCTTTGCTCAACTCCCCTGATCTTACCCATCACGTTCCAGATAGGCTGCTGCTCGACTTCGTCTTGGTCATTCACAAGATGCACCTTTGGAGAGCTTAGGTTTCCTGTCCAGTACGTAACATTCTGAAGTCCTCCTGTCCAGTTGGGATGCCCCACCGGCTCCTGGCCCACCCCCTCGATCGCTTTCAGGAGATGTTGTGCATCTCCCCATGACAGAGGTATACTCGGGATGTTGACCAGGCCGGGATTGTTGTCTTTGGAGACCCTCTCGGCTCCCTTAACGCTCGCGTACCCAGGCGTCAGCACATCCCCCACAACCCAGCTCATCAATCCCACTGAGCCCCTCTGAACGCCGCCTTCAGGCATGAATCTCCCATTCGGCGCCGGCTCTCCAAGCACAAACCCATCTTCCTGCGGATCGCTGTAGATGATAACACCCACAAAACCCCACTCCTCCGCAGCCTTGACTTTCAACGCGCGATCCCCTTGTGTTCCCCCATACCTCACCAGAGCAATCGCCCCTTTCACATCGATCCCACTGTCATACAGCGCCTTGTAATCCTCTCTCGCTCCATAATTCGCGTAAATCAGCGGTCCTGTGACATCCCCTGCCCTCGAATGACCATGGAAAACCGGCGTCTGGGCCCTCACGCCTTCCCCGTACACATCCACCTCCTCAATCTTCGCACTCCACTCCACACCCCCATCACCCTTCAGCAACTCGACCTTCCTCCCCCCTTTCTTGGGGTAATTCAAATACACATCATACTGATCCATGTGCACCTCCTCCAGAAAGTTGCCCCGCATGAAATCCTGCACATACTCCGCCAACACATAGTCGCCCTCGGTGCCCGCCAGATGATCCGCCTGCGTCACCACCCGCAGGTACTCGCGGATCTTGCCCTCGTTCGCCATGGCCTGAACATGTATCCTGACACTCTCCGGATCAAACATCTGGCCCGCCAGGCGCCCCGTCGCGCTCGTAAAGATGTCGCTCATGAACAGCAGGTACACGACGGCCATGACCAGCAACAGGGCGAAGCAGCGCCCGAGCACGATGCAGAAGTTCGCGTCCAGCGTCGGCCACCGCGGTCGCAGGGACGCGGGCCACTTCCACCGCGCGAGGATCCCGAGGCTGGATATGCGTTTCCCCCACGCCGACTGCGTGCTGCGGCTCCCCTCGGCAGCCGGATCCCCCATCTCCATCTCCTGCATCTCCCTCCGCACCTCGTCCTCCTCCTCCTCCGAGCTCTGGCTTGTCCTTCTCCGCCCTCCATCCTGATTGAGAAAGCTATCGTGTTCGACATCGTCGCCGTCGTTGTCGCCGTTGACTGATGTGTTTTCTTCCGTAGGTGGCGGCCTGTAGCCCACTCGCCGCGTAGGCACCGGTGTACGGCCTCCGAGCTCTGAGCCTAACAGTCCCTCTCGCTCGGCCGGGTGGGCCGCTTCTCTTGTATTGTCCTCTCGCGGAAAAGGCGTGTTGCGCGAGGAGGAGCCGACGGCCTCGTCGTAGGTGGGAATCGGGACGGGCTCGTACTTGTTAGGCTTCTCGTCGGTGGGCATGATGGCGATGCTGTGGCCCGCAGGGTTAGGAACTCAAAAGGGGTCCGGGGCCGTTCGAGGGTTGTTGATCGGGATAGGGATACCTAGGGTTTGCTATTTCAGTCAGGCCAGCTGTCGCTCATGCCGCACCGTGTGAATCCTGGGCTTCAATATCTCCAATCCATAGGGTAGAGAAGCAATTCGTGTAAGTGTAGGTAGGTCGGTCGGTTGGTAGGTGTGGTTTGTTATTTGCGCCAAGGTGGAGTGTTGGCGTCGGAAAGGTCTTCGTACTCGGGAATATCGAGGTCTGAAGCATGATTGACGATGCACGTCTCGGCTGCGGCGAGGCTTGGAAGCTGTCAAACACTAAAAGAAAGAGTCTAGGCCGTGCGGTAGTGGTAAAGAATAACTTCGTTGGGGATTGTGCACCTTCAATCAATTGCAATTCGATATTCAATCATTGGGAGACAGATGTAAATTTTATCACGACCTGTCACGCAGCAGGAGTCACAACACAGACCGATTCCGGGGCCGCAGAAGCTATGTACACGTGATCACAGTCTTCCAATTACTCTCCTTCTCGTCTGAATATTACACAATAGTGTGCCCCGAAGGCATGATGAATTCGGAGCATGATCGCCTCTCATGCCCTGTTTGCTCAATCTCAAAGTTTTGAGTCAAGCATCTCGCTTCTGAGAAGCTCGGCGTGCTACCACCAAGGCTCCATCGAAACTTCTTACAATTGGGTTCTCTCCCAACCCGTCGTCTTTCGAAGAAATCTACTTCTCTGCATTTGTCACAACCCCGTCGTACTCTCTCGATGCAATGTATTCTATGGTGCGATGGAAGTGGCGTTTGGGCATGTCGATGGTGGCGGATTCCTGGTTGGTTTGGAGGTTGGAGTGGATGAGCTCGATGAGTCCGTTGAGATATTTCGTAGTCACCTGTCCAAATTAGGGCTGCAGTCTACATGGCAGTAAGGAGAACTTACAGCATCATTCTGCTGATCAAAGTAGTAAACGTAGCGGTTCAGAATCTCGACGAAAAGCTCAACTGAAACAGCCGTATCCATGCAAGCATCGGCAACACGGAGAGCTCGTTGGAGACACTCCAAAACTCTCTTGCCATCACGGTAGAGCTATAATCATTAGCTTGTTTGAATACCCTCCTGGGATCTTATGCTTACCTTCTTCTCGTCATCTTCCGTCTCGCCCTTGGCAACGATCGGCACAGCCCACCATAAGTGAGATGCCAAATACACAGCTCGACATTGATCCGGCTTCTTGAGAAGCTTGCTACCGTGTAGCGCGCACTTCGTGATCAGGGTATCGTAGTTCTCTCTGCCAAAGTTCCGGACTTCATGCAATGCACCAGCAATAATGCAGACAGCTTGGAATTGAGCTCTCGAATCGCTGATCGCCTCTTCATATATAGTGAAGGCTTGTGCGAAGAACTCGTAGCTGACTTCCTCCGCTCCGTTCTGATCAGCAATCTGACCACATGTGACGAACAGACGTAAACAGAGCTCGGCAGAGCTGGGCACGCGGGTATACAGTGTTGATAGGGATGAATGCATGAACTTGTATATAGCTGATGACTGTGACTCCCAGTTGTCATCGTAGTGCTCTCTCGCTTTGTACCGTCTAGCCAGCTTCTGCGCCGAAGTGATCAGAGCCGGTGTTGTGAACTTTACACGTTCGTTTCCCTCAGCATAGGCCTTTCTCGTTGCTTGCAGAAGCTTGTATTGCGTTTCGTTATCATCGCTGTGAATGAGATGAACTATCCGAGCGAGCCAGCCTTGCTCTTCCACCGTCTCATCCGTTTCAACGGCCTTCCGTTGTTGAACACCAGAATACCCGGCAGGTTGTTGTGTACCTTCCTTGATCAGGACCTTCAAGGTCTCGAGAACGCACTCCAATTGGGAGAGTATCGAGACATTGGTAAGATTTCTTTGTAGATTCTTTGCTACCTCGCCGGCTACAGCTCTCCGACACGAGTAGGTTTGTGAGTGGATGAGCGGGATATATTGTGGAAGGGAAAGCGCTGTAAATATTGACACGTAGGATTTCATAGGTGCCAGGAGAAGGTTAAGAATGTTCGTTTGTGCCTCTGGGGAGTGCAAGTCTGCACTGTTGGCATGCTGCTTGACTTTTGAATTTGCGTAATCCAGAACTTGGTCGACATAGTCAAGGCGTTCCGGGTAGATATTGAGAGCGAGATTGACCAGTGATACCAGTAAGGCTGTGGTATCTTGAATAGGAAGATGCTGAGCGTTAACTAGGTTCATCACCTGCTCAAAAAATATCTCATAGAGCTTGATATTCTCTGGAATACCTCTGCTCTTCGGCTCATCCGATCCATTCGTGCCATTTTCAGAGTCTGGGTTGGTTTCTGGCTTTGCCGATCCCTCTTGCATCTCGGGCTCCGCCGTCCCAGCCTCTTTCGTTGGCGACCCATTGGTCTCACCTGGATATTGCTCGCCGTTTGGTTCCTTCGGGGATACGGGCTTCTTTTCCTGGCCCAGCCGTACACCCTCCAGCAACTTCGCAATAGCATCCTGCTCCAGCTTCTCACGGTCTTCCTTGGGATCCACCTCTGATTCCCTCGCAGCATACGCAGAAAGTCTGTCCATCAGCGCGATAACGATAACCTTGACATTGACATGTGGATTCAGCCGGGAGACCGCAGCTAGGAACTGGTCAAGGGTGTGTAGGTGGAACTCGTCCGGGAATACCTGCGTGATAACTTCCAGCAGGTACTCCTGCGCCAGAACATCCCGGCACTGGACGACTTGCTCCAGCAAAGGTTGCAGAATAACATTCTTGTAGGTCTCCAAGTCCACCAGCTGGCTCAATCGTACGAGGTTGTTGCCCACGAGCAGCTGTAGCTCTTTACGCTCCTGTGTCCGCTGCTCCCTCTCCCTCGAGTGTCCTTGGTGCTGCAACCGAACCCATAACTTGTTCATCTCCACGAAATTCGTCAGGGTGAAGCTGATCGAGTCCTGGAGGTTTCCCTCTGGTCCATCTCCATTGCCCATTGGGAGGTTGTCCCGCGCTTGTCCAGAGAGGTAATATCGCAAGAAGAGGCCTCGGATCGGATGTTGAACTCCCCTGCTCATCTCCATCATGTCCTTCATAATCTCCTTAACGGGTGCATCTTCGATTGACATGTACACTGTTCCGACCGTGATCATCAGGTAGAGTCGAGGTATGATGTTGCCCGCATATTGGACAAGCTCGTATAGATCTGCAAGGTGATTGACTGGGTGGGAGTCTTTCAAGTAAGAGGAGAGGTGTCGGAGAGCATCGAAAACAGACATGTATAGCTCGTAATACTGTTTCGGTCCCAGGCTGCTCGTTCGAAGCTCCGACACCAAAGTAGAGCTGTCGATAGATTAGCATTAGCATCATCTGTAGACCCAGCGCATCCCGCGCATCCCGCGCAATCCATCTCATCTTCCCCAAGGCCGCTCCCACAGCATCGTACCTGCATTTGAGAGCATCCATAAGCTTCCCAGGGGTTTCCAGGCATTTGCGCATCAGATGCGTCTGCTGCCTCACCACCAGCAGGGCATCTTCCAGCAGCCGGGCCTGGTCTTCTACCGCCGGAGGGGAAGCCATAATGAGCGAGTATCGGAATATTCGTGCACGGTGGCTTGCGCAGCTCAGGCAGGTGGCATTAAAGTCGTGAGAGACTTTAAGGCGGGAGGTTGTGGTGTTGCAAGTATTGTTGCGGTGTTGAAGTCAAGTGGTCAAGGGAGCAGCAGCGTTACTATGGGCACAGCCGCGCAATGACATCTTGGGTTGGCTCGGTAGGAAGCAAGCAGCCCTCACAGTAAGTACAATGATCACTCAGTACAAGTATATTTGTTATACAGTAACTTGATTTTGTATAATTCAATTAATTAATTAATTAAACATTATCTTAGTCATACATCCTCATGTTTCGTTTCGCAGTCTTCCAAACGCCAGCAATGTTGCGCGTTCCAGCTCCTCTTGGGACGCTCCGCTGCTCCTTCCTAGGAAAACAATAGACCTCCATAAAATCAATCTGGAAGGCAAATATGTACCACATCGAAAATCCCGTCTTTTTAAACATGTCTTCTGAATAACCAGTTTCTCATCTTTTCTCATTGTTTTCGTTCAATTCTGTTCCTGGGCCAGCCTTGACAAAGCGTGGTTTGAATTTTGCGCATCCTTCGTGCTCAATTTGTTTGTACGTATCATATTTCATACTTCAGAATAAGAGTCGTCTGAATGATTCGGTGATCCCGCGATTGGAGGGCGGGCCTCTTTCTTTGAAGTTTCCTTTTTTTTGGGAGTAATCCGCGGTACATGCCCTGAACCTGTGCTGGTGCCGTTCGCCCAACTGGGGTAGTGCTTGTCCAACTTCCCATTATCGCACGAAGGCTTAGATGAAGAGCTAATGCTCGAAGAGCTCAGGATTGCAGTGTATATTGAGGAAAGTGTGGATGGCACATTCGTTGAGAGAGAGGAGGCTGTAGTTGGACATGGCGATGGGCTCGAGATTGGCCCACCAGGTGAGGATGAATTGCTCGGAGGCGTAGGAGTGGGTGTCGGGGTAGATGGCGAGGGCTCCAAGGTGAAAGTGGAGCATTTCGTTGAAAGTGTTTCGGAGGAGGGTGTGGTCGAAATCTCGGAGGTAGTAGGCACAAATGAAGTTGATGCTGGTGCAAATGCTGGAGATGTAGCAGGCGTAGGAGATGGCATCGCACTGCTAGAACATGGTTCGGAGTACTGTGAGGTCGAGGTCTTGAAGGTCGTCGACCCTGATGAGACTGGTGCCGGAGCAGGAGAAGGAGCCGAAGCCGAAGCAGAGGTAGGAGTCGTTATGGCGCTGCTGGAAGATATGCTGGGCGGCTCCTGGGATGTGGTCACACTCACTGAGGCTGAAAGACTAACAGTAGTCGGAGGGGGGATGATATCGATGATAGAGTATTTGGGCTTGGCCGGAGCCGGAGTGGCAGTCAGCAGAATGGTCAGTGTCGTCTTCGGCCCCTCGAAAATCTTCGTCGATACAACAAAATTTGTGATGGGCGGCAGCGTTATATCGTCTGTTTCGACGAAAGTGAGCGGTGGTTGTGTCACCACAATCGTCTGCACAATCATCGCCGCCGGTTGTTGGCCTCCATCAACAGGCACAATCGAGTAAGTTGCTCTTCTCTCACGAGGCTGCAGCAAATACGGTCTTCTGCTCACGAGTGGCAAGGAAGATACAAAGCAGAAAAGTGAAGATACTGCGAACAGAGACGGGGTTGAGGTATTGAGACGCATCATGGGCTAAGGTAGGGAAGACGAGAGGATTTGATAGCGTTGAGAGACGATACTTGCGATGGATGAGAGCGATTATGAAGAAGAAATCATGCTTACCGGGGATGATAATTGCGGTTAAGTACGTGCAGTTGTGCGGCGATGTACTTGCGTATTGAGAAGTTGGGAGGTTGGGGATTCTTGCGGAAGGTTGGTGTTTTGCGCGCGATAAATGAGAATGGCTGGTATAAGCGTCAACTCGAACTTGAACCCGCAGCGAAAACAAACGAGAAGATATATTCCTGCGTCGGCGACTTTTGGTCAGCAGCAGACGTAGGGTAAGTAGCTCGGCGGTGATGATCGGGGTCCGCATTTTCATACGTGGTAATCATCATCACATTGATGCAGTTCGCAATGGAGAGTCTCTGTTGAAGAAAAGATTATATCGAGTGAAGTCGGAACATATAATCTCCGATGCGCCAAGGTTGGCCTTACATAAGCGTCGCCACGTTCAGGAATGTTGTTGCCTAGGAAGCAGGCTGACTCGACAACAGAGAGATGCCTGATTATTATGGCAGACGACGGAGCTATGCCCGCCCAACATTTATACTTATTAATCTTTCCAATAAGCTTGAGTCGCCAACCTCTTGGACGAAACCTAGCATGGCCGCCCGGACGATTCCTTATTACTACTACTTACTTACTACGTACATACAGATCGCTATTTCGTCGAGATCGACGTCCTTCCCATTGCATATAAACTCTTATTGTGCAAAAGCAGACCTGCAGTGCACATTGCAGTTTTCAGTATCATAACCCTACACCGCACGACAACTCTGTACAAGATCTGGATCTTTACCCTTGTTCTCTTCTTTCGAGGGTAGAACCAAAAACGCTTCTTTCAAGGCTTCTTTCAAGACCAGGATTCGAAAGCAACCCCATGTTCAAGACAAGCTCTCGCCAAGTCCAACTCTCGATGCATCCATCACCTGACACCGACCACCTCGCTAATAAAGTCAAAGTCAATATCAACATCAGAGCATCCTGGAGTCTACCTACCTCCTCCTTATGTTTCCAATCTAACTTCGCCAAATCATCTACGCCCTACTCCTACCAGCCCGACACCACAAAAACATCACCGCTGTACCCCCACCCCCCGAGGGAGCCTTTAATTTGACGGTAGCTAGCAAATAATATATATATATATATATATATATATTTTTTTTATCTTTTTACTTTTCAAAAACAAACATGCCCGGAGTCAATGCTGTATTCTCATCCCGCACCAATGCCAGCATAACCACGAGCTCAATCCCCCTCCCGTCCCGTCTCGTCTTACAGACAAATCAATCGCTGTTTCGCTAGCTATATCTGCCAACTTTCATGGTGAAGCGCGATTGAGATTAGCACAGGCGTGTTTACATTCTAGCCACAGCTTCGGCTCCTTTCTTTAAATCATTATCTTTCCTCGCCCTTACTTAATTCTCAGCTTGATTATGAAGCTTCTCCAAAAGTAAGGGATAGCGAATATGAAGAATATGCCTAGCACAGTAATCAACCTCGCAAATACGGCGACATCTCAGTATTATTGATGTGGAGGGAGACAGCTGCTGGGGTGATTGGCTTCAAATGAGACCTCCCGAATATCTCGCTGAATATATGTAACATGACGAAAATTTCGGAAATTTCTGCCCAAGACTGGGCTTAGAGTTTCTACTTGGAAGAGGTTCTGCATCGCCAGTTGTTGTTATTGTCGATTCTATTCTGGAGAACTCGCTTACCCGGGAAAAGTCCCGCCCCCCTCTTTCTCACCGCAAAAAAGCAAAATACTACATCAATATATTGCGTGGAAAGATTGGTCTGGATTAACTGCTAAGGTCTCAAAATCAGTTTCCAAAATTTGGTGTAGCGTTTCGCCGATTGTTTGTGCATCGCGGGTGAAGTGGCGAGGCTGCCAGCGATATCATACGTGCCCTCTTGGTGGCGCGGAGACTTTTCCTGAATAACTAAGGCTTACTCGTCGATTTGTGACTCGCGCTTACTCTTATCTATCTTTTCTTTCTTGTCGAGGCTACTGCAAGCGTAGTAACACTGTGGCCTCAAGGCTCAAAGTATGGTACCAAATTTAAACAGGTAAAAGACCCGGGCCCTGGAGGATTAAAATCGAAAAACCCACGAGAGATGCACAAAATTGGACAGTGGTATCCACCATCGTGTTGGGTAATTGACGGAGAAGGCTGTGTGTTGTGGGTTTGGTGATTTTATCATGCGTATGGGCCACGGGATGAGTAGCAATTGAGCGCGAATTATTCTAGAATATACAATCTAATTTCCCGATGGAAGCGTATCACTACCTTGTATATCAAATATTTGCTAGGAAAAATGTTGAGTTTGGCGCCTGTGGATGTAGAGGGAGTAGACTTTTGTTCCACAAACAAAACACGGCCTATGAGGGATATGAGACCTTGGAAGCCTTTTTTTGAACTTGATTGAGTTTTTCTCTCAGGATAATCGATTGTGACTCTATTCGTCAATTAAGAGACCTAATCTTCGCGGAATATTTGGACCACGTTTGAGTTTGGGCGTACATATACATATAGTTACCTATATATCAGCCAAATTCTATAGTTGACACCGGCAGGGAAACTCTAGTCTTCAGCTAAGTTGCAGTTACTATAATCTACTTGTATAGAAATCGGGAAATTCGAAATTTCTGTATTGTGGGAAGAAGGCATAGCATAGCGCGGCGAAACAATGGTATAAATTGCGCGATATCACATAATTGACATTGGTTCTCGGAAGAGGGAACAGCTATTGACTCTAATTTTCATATCATTCCGAGCTTCTAACAAGAAGCCAACCGGTGATGAATCCTATCTACAGGTCCCTGAAGAGAATGGAAAGGCAGACGTGGACGGTGAAAGGTCTTCTATCGCGCAAGTCAGTATATTATATTGAATGCAATATAAAAATCTGCAAGACTGTATCAAAGCGGCCGACATCCATTCGTAGCCTGAGAGAAAATATATTCACAGACGTACTATTTTACGGTGAAGTATGGTCCTGCAGAATAGCTTGGTTTTATGCAGTTTAAAAAAGATGAGCTATAAGAAATCCTAATTCTTAAATCTGAATTCTGCCGTTGAAAAATCCGAGAATATTCAATAGAGCAAACAATTTCTTTACCTAGGTGCAATACTTTATTGAATCGATAAGAGAAATGTGGGGCCTCAGGTGTTTTTATTCGCTTAATTTCTAGCGTTTTTCAAAGCGGAAAGATGTTTTATCCATACACCGGCTTGTTTATCTTTTTTCATTATCGAGACAGTGCCAACAGAAATTTTTACAACGCAGTTCTGTGTGTGTCCGCGCACGAAAGCAAGTCCCGATTATCTCTATCACAATGTCGACTCACGATACCCTCCTTCCAAATTACGATGCTAGATATCTTGCTTGGTAAGAAAACCAAAAACTTTCGTCCGCGAGTCCACTTTGGCAAATCTGACTGACCTACAGGCAAACCGACTTGGCGGATACAACAAAGCTTATCCTTGCTTCCGTGAAGATTTACCAAGTGGACGCCAATAGATCCAATCCCGGATATTCGACCAGGCGTGTCCGCTTTCCTTACCCAGGCTCTCCCCTCCGTCCACCTCCCAAGCCGCTAGCACTGGTTATCTACCTCTCAGAGAGTAAGTAAAAGAAATCCTCAGCATTATATTTGGCACTAACAGGTGAAAGCCGATATTGCAACCCAGGCCTCGGCTTTCTTCGCTCCTGAAATCAATGCAGACCCCAATTTCCTCGACGATCTACTCCGCAAGAACAGGAATATCATTTCGAAGTCGAACAATATCCTCTACATCGAAGATCTACCGCAAGCCTTGAAGTTATACTTCTGGGACAACAAGCCTATCTGCGGTCCCGAAGATTGCCATGTCGTAACCCCAGAGAGAAATGGCATCAGCGCATTAGACTTCGAGATACCATTAAAGTTAGCCCCACGCGCTTCGATTGTTAAGAAGCTCGCAATCTACGGTCCTCCTTCAAATACAGATCGAAAACTCTATAACCAATGCGTGTTCCTCCTGCTTGAGGCTTTGAAGGATCTTGAAACTCTCTATTTGATAGTCGACAATCGTCATGAAGTAGGCGAGACCGGGCACGGTAGGAGGTTCATCGGCGGTGCTGCTCTACTTGGTCTGGAAAATAAAGGTCAACAAACGACTCGAACAGAACGGTAATTTCCCAGCCTCCCAAGCTCAGTGATCACCGCCCGCATTGGCAGAGGGGGAACTTGGCTAATTCCATACAGAGAAAGAGGAAAAGAGGCATGGGCAAGTTACTTCACGGCAATGAAGTGGAAAATGGAAATAAACAAATGGGACGGAAAGCATAACCTGGATATCAAGATCGTTCAGTGGGAACCTGATATTAGTAATGTTGAGTGGGAACCTGCCGTCGAAGAGCCGCTACCTGGTACCGGCATGAAGTTATTCCTGAAGTATGCCTTGAACAGCGCTTTTGAGGGCATATTATGGCTAGTTTCTGGCTGGAACCAGTAGGATCTCTTGAAAGCCTTGCGTAAATGGAGAGCAATCATAAGTGTGCTACAGGATTGGTGATTGTAGCTAGAATGCAACCCTGTCTCGCGGCACAAAATCTAGTCTTCAAACATGGCTATGACCAGATCGCGGAGAGCTGCCCAATCGTAAGAAAAAGACTCTTCTTGATTAACGTTCAAATTCCATGCTTAATGTGACTTGACCAAAGTAACCAGAAAGTGACAATAAGATTCACTCCTATCAATGTAAGAGATGAAACTAGACTCAACAACGACGAAAGAAACGCAAACCATCCAAAGTCCGGAGAGATCACTTCGCCAGTATCAGAACCCTCGCCGGAAACGGCTGCCAGCTCTACTAAGAGATAATTATCACTCACGCCCTACTCTACTTGGCCGAAGGCGGCTCTCCAGATGTAGTCACGTGAATTCTTTCCACGTCGTTGATATGGTTAGTCTCCCCGTCTATTCTTCAAGTTGGGTGTCTACATTGCGTAGTTTGTCTGCTTAGCAGTCACGGCAAACTTTGATAGAGATCTATAACCAGACCGCTGATCGACAACTTCAAGAATGTTCAACTAAAGGATAGAAAGTGATATGCCCTCAATTACCCTAGATTAGGAAGGAGTAAAGCCTCTGAGCGATTCCAAGCCCTGCTTTGAAAAAAAGCCATAGGCATTTGAAAAAGTGCTTGTGTATCGAGAAAAAAAAAGAATCCAGAATATATAAGGTAATAAAAGTAAGCTATCTACCGTGGATGAGACTCGCTTCACTTGTTTATCAAGCTAAGGTAGTCGAGGAAGCTTAAAGCGCCGACCACGCTAGCTGCCATAAAAAGTGGGACTTCGCGCGAATGCCCTCAACCCAGCAACCCCAAACACCTCGATCGCGTCCGCGCTGAGAAACTTTCGAGATCACTCAACGAACAAGTCCGGTGCTTGCCTAAACTTGCCGTCCGATACCTACACAGTATCAACCGGCGCTTGATATTAGAGAACAAACCTGGTAAGTATCCGCACTCGCGGAGCTTTGTTTACTTTCGTCTCGGAGTTTCGCATCCCCTTCATCTTTCACGCTCCAAGCCCGGCGCTGGTCGGTCTAGCGGAAATACTGCTGACGTGAACAGACCAGTGAGAAAGAAAGAGAGAGGATAAAGAACGCGCGAAGATGGAGGAATTGTATGCCGCCGAGACGCCACCGCGGTCAAGATCTCCTGTTCTGACCGAGTCTGCGCCACTCAGACCTAGATCGAAGTCGACGGATACTAAGATTCCATGTGGGAGTTCGATATTCTTAAATTCTACTCTCAGCGCGCTGGGTGGTAAGTATTCCATTTCAGAGATCGGAATTGAGGCTGACCAAGAGCAGAGACAGACCGTCAGACTTTCGAACCAATCTCCGCTCCCAAGGGCCAGAAACCAGAAGCCAATTTCCAGGAGACATCCAAAGGCTCAGAGCTGGGATATAAAGACTCCAGCGCCACGATTGATGATCTCTCGCACGAACCTGCCTCGTTGCTTTCCTCGCACCAACAAGCCAAGGACGCCGCCGACGCCGCCGCAGGCGAATCCGAATCGATAAAGCTTCTCACTCAGGAGCGCGACATGCTGAGAGATGAGCTCAAGTCTGTTACCGATGATTTGAAAAACGTCCAGCTAGATCTCCGTGTGGCAAGAGGCAGATATGAAGCGATGTTCCGAGCCTCTGCCGCTAGGCAGAAGCATCTGTATGGAGTTTTTGAGCAGCTACACAATGTCGCTACTTCTGGGCCGATTCAGCTTGTTCCTAATCCTGCTAGTCTAAGTCTCCAGGCTTTGAAATGGGGTCCCATTAGTGTTTCGATGGAGAACTGGCTGGCGGAGCCTATGAGGGGTTCAGAAGAGCCAGTCGTGCCCTTGTCGATGACTGCCAAGGAGAGTAGTGGAACTGATGGATCGTTCTTTAGTGCCGAGGACATCTTTGGGAAAGAATTGGATCCAAATGCCGTAAGTTCGTCCAATTTACTGGTCAATTTTCGAAGCCTTCTGGAAAGTTTCAACTTCGCAAGTCGAACTCTGCCATCGGTTTCAAGTGGGATGAACGTACTGACAGTTACTAGCAAGCCTTCTTGCCAAGCTCATTGAGCCCAGGAAAGAGAACTCAGAGTCTTAAAAAGGGAAGCCGGACCGCTGAAAGAAAGAGGAGAGGCGCTGCCAAGTTCACTTTGAGCCGTCCAAAGCTCAGTCCGTCCAAGCTTTCTCCACAGCTCAGCTTCAACTATTCGTCCGCCGCCTCTGACACTTCACTAATTCCCTATTGTCCAAATCCAACTGTACGTAGTGAAGACCAGCCTGGGGGGGGTCACCAAGGTAGACATGAGCCTGGTAGACATGAGCCTGGTGGACATCAGTATGGCGAACATCAGCATGGTAACATGACCCCCTACTCGACGAAAGAGCAAGAGCCGGTAAAGTCTTTCCCAAAGCACTACTTTTCAACCTCGCCTATCAGAGGCCCAGCTCAAATCAGCAATACGGGCAGCTTCTCAAACCAAAGCCTGCCATGGCAGCTGCAAGAGCAAACCGAGGACCCTTCCGAAAACAAGTCTCGAAAGAAGTCCGGTAAGCAACAGCCACGACCAAAAAAAGGAGGAAAACACCACAAGCCCACGAGCCAGGCGACATATCAGCCAAGATACGAGCCAGTATATGTATACCAGCCGAAAAGTAAGCCATCGTGGCAGCAGAAGATGCAACAGAACCAGCCGAGCCAAAAAAAATCGCTAGCATCATACGCTCATGACGGCCAGGCGAACCCTCAACCCGCACCCCAGGCACAATGGGTCCCCCAGACGGCATTCCCAACGCTCCCACAGCAGCAGCCGTTCCCTCGTCTCATTCAAGTGCCACATCCAGGCCTCTTCGTCCCTTACACGGCACCCATCTCACCAAGTGCAGTTTTGGACCTGCTTCCTGCCCGCTGGCGCGGCGTCTGCCCCCACTCAATGCTCGTACGTTTCGCCCCCTTTCTCTCCTTTCCCCTCCCTTGCCATTCCTTTCGATCCATCCAGTCTCGAGATCCATTCCTCAGACACCATCACCTCCCCCCCCCCTTCCCCTTCACACATCACCTCCCCCTCCCCGTCTCTCAATCGACTAAACCTAACCTGCCCAACCACAGAGCAACTCCACCGGCTGCCCCCTCAAAGCCCGCTGCCGCCTTCTCCACCTCTGCGAAGCCTACAGCAACCCCCATGGCTCCGGCTGCTACTACGTCTGGGGAAACTGCCCTTTCCTCCACGAGTTCAAGGTCTGCAGCGACGCCATCGCGGCCCCGCACGGCTGCCCGCTGGAGGAGACACTCGTTCCGCGCCGCAGCAAAGAGCATTACAAGCACGCAAGCCAGGAGGAGGAGGAGTTTACAAAGGCGAGAACCCTGCACATGCGATCGACGGTGCATCGCTCCGGGGTCGGGCGGGAGGAGTGGAATTTGCGGGTCGTGGTGGCGAGTTTGAGAGAGGCGCACGATGCGGGGATTTACAATGGATTGTACTGAACTGGGGGCTGCGAGTTGTGGTATTGGGTGTTGAGGGGAGGGGGAGGGCGATGTCTGGATGATGGATATGCGGTTTGCGGTGTGGTACGGATGGAAAGTGGATTCTGAATAGGCCAGCCAGCCATGTTGCTGGACGTGGGTAGCCAGCCGGGTATTTACGAAAATGTTTGAGTATCGGAATTCTTTGCTTTTTATCGCGCAGTCAGGTCGTCGTCGTCGGCGCCGAAGGTGGGAATGGAGGGAATCATAGAAGAGAACCGTAGATAGTACTGGGCGGCCGTGGAAATAAGCTCTTTCCGTCTAGGTCGATAATAAAAGTGTTTTCCGTAAGCGTATACACCAGCCGTGCAATCGTTCCTCGTCCAAATGTACCACTTGCACCTCCTCCAATTGCTCCACTTCCAGTCGTACAAGGCGGTCGGTATGAGCCGGCAAAAGAAATATTTTATTCATAGCCATAAGCCTATCATAGCAATCAATCCTCGTCTTTCTATCTACAATGTCAGAGGCCCTCTCGGTTAATTCGCTTCTCTTTATCAACACTCGCCTGTCCGTCGTGAGCCCCATATGCCGGCTGCACCGAGACAGTATTACGCTCGTTTGTTTTATAGTCCATTTAATTCGAATCCTGGGAACTCCTTGTCGAGTCTGAGCCGCGTGAGAAATGCCTTGGGCTGGAAAAGGCATTTCCACGCCGGCACAGATCCGCTGCAGCAGCCTCCTCACGGATCCTCTCAGCCAACCCACGGGATTGGGGAGGTGGGTAATGCTCGTCTGCTGAGCTGGTTGGCGAGCAGTGAAACTGCTCGGAATCGGATACGGATGAGCTTGAATCGAAGAGGGTATCCTGATCGGAGAACAGCTCCTCAACCTTGATCAGCAGCTCGCTCTTGCAGCTGTCCGCCTTGGCCGGTATGCTGGGAATTTTGGCTCCTCCCACTGTCTGGGCCGAATTGTCGAAACTGATTTCTGAATCCAGGGACGCTACGGCACCATCCATTTTACCCTGAATCTCCTTGAACTGTACCTGCGTTGCCGAAATAGCCTGGTCTATGCCTAAGACCAACTTCAATAACGAGCCTTCGACACACTGGGCTATTAAAGCAGAGAGCCCGAGGTAGTTGGCCCGAGCAGTCTCGTCTTGGCAATGTTCCATTTGCTCCTTCATGGCGCCTCGGACCTTGCCGATGTTTCTCAGGGCACGACTAACAGCATGAGCACAATGGTTGTTGAAAGCATCCAAAGTCCCTGAGGAGATTTGATGAAAGCTGAGTGCAAGCTCTGATGCTCCAGCAGCGATATCATCTGAAGAGAGTCAATCTCATTTCGGACATATCCTTTAAGATTGAAGGACGAGGGTAACCTACTTATTTGCGCCTTGGCTAATACGAGCTCTTTGTGCTCGTCTTTCAGAAGCGCATTCTTTTCCTCTAAAATTCTGTTGAGATCTTTGGTCCTGTGCCAAATTGTCAGCTCTTGCTCCAGAATGGTCCGCAACAGGAATAGCCATGCATGCCACCACACAACAGCCTTCTCAATACTCACTGCTCATACAACACCCTCTCCTTCCTTAATTGCCGAACCTCAGTCTCCAACGCCCTCACACGATTCTCCAACTCTCTCGATTGCGCTGGCTGAGCCTCAAACCCGCGCACAAAGTTCTCGTGTGCGCGGTCAATGATCGATCTCAGCTCGTCATTGCGCTTCGTGAGATCCTCCGTCGTTTGCGTCAGTCGTCGGTTCTCAATCTCCAGGCCACCCATGTACGCGAGAAAGCCTTCGGGGTCCGCTGAAACCTTATGGGCCAGTTTTTGGGCTTCGATCAAGATGGGACAGGTGTTCGCCATTTTGATGGTTTCCTAGCGATGTGGCGATGTGGCGAGGGGACTGGAATGGTTCTTGTGGTTTGTGATGGATGATATAAGCGATTGGGTTGTGCAAGTAAGGATGCAGTTGTTGATCTGATGTTGAGGACAGGAAGGAGGAAGATGGGTGCGAGGTGAGAGTTTTTGTTTGTTGTATAATGGGTGGCGAGTGCACTCGAATTGAAACCCGGAAACGGAAACCGCGGCGGGTCTTTACTATTAAAAACCTCCAGCAAGGTCTGGAAACATTTCTTCAGAAATGAAATGTTTTTCCTTTTTTTTTTTTTTTAGAAAACGAGTTTGTACTTGCTTGAAAGTCTAATAAAAATATGAGGCTCATTTCCATGATCGCTCAATCTATTTTTATGCTGGTGAAATTCACTTTACATGAAACCGGATGGTCAAGTCCATCGTTGCTGCTTATGTTGTTGTTGTCGTTAGACGAATATCGGAGCCGAGTTAACTTACCGAGTTATCCTAAATATAGAGTTGACGCCACAGCCAAGAGATTAACAAGATACGTATCTCGACCTGTGGCTATTCTAAGTATTCTTTCGGCTCAGTTTGCCCTTGATTCGAAGCTGATCCTTTGCTTCTTAAATTGACACAGAGATGCTTTACTGTAGTACCACGGTACAGGCCTAAGTATTACCCCTCGAGGGTGCCTTAAAAGTTTAGTTTACACTTTAAACCCCCTGTTTTCCCTACCCTCGAGGGGTAATACTTACGCCTGCGACGTAGTAATTTTGCATTTGTGTGATCGTCATTCCTACTCAAACCTTTTCCTACCAAAACTTTTCCTACTAAAACCTTAATTCTTGGATAGAGCTATAGCCCGTCTTCGGTATAGTGCTATGGAGCTCTTTTTAGGCTATTATTACCGCCGTCGGCGATATATTCGAGCTGTTTGTAACCAAGCTTTAAAATCAGCCTTTGCATGTGGTTTGAAAGAGACGGACGGTCCGAAGACGAACCCCCACCTGCCTTTCGGATAGACAGGGCCACGATTTGTGGCGTGTTTTGAGGCAATGCCCTGGTATGTACTGCGTATAATATCCTCTCTTTACAACTCATCCTTCAAAGACTCAAGCAACTTTGACCCAGATTGATCCAGCGTTTTTCCCTGAGCGAGAGGCGAGAACAGCCCGGAGAAGGAAAGGGAGGATCCCAGCTTTTCCTACCTAACCAGATCACGATCACAAATTTATGGAATACATATTCACTTGAAATTTTATATTCTGATATGGGCTACACCCAACTCATACCTCTCATGTTTAATCTATCTTGCAAGTACTTCAGACAGTAGAAGTCCTCCGGCTCCACTCCCACTCTTAACTCAGCTCCGAAATGCGTCTGTACTAGTTGTCGTCAGCCTTGAACTCAGAGCCTCATTGTTGATTGAGCGGGTGCTGAGTCAGCGAGAGTGGAGTGGAATGGAGTGGGTACACATACCTAGCTCCTCCTTTTTGTTACCTACGTCAATGCATTCATTCGGTACCCACTATCGACTTTCTTCTTCTCCCTCTCCCTCTTCCTCTTTATCTCCATGACTACCGTCGAACCATACCGTCCTCCACAGCATAAATTCCCTTCCGGGGCGCCTTCGAGTCGAGCACGAACCCATCCCGCTTCAACGTCCAACAGCACCATAAGCCAGAACATACCACCCGCGGTGCCATCACCACCACGCCTCTCGCGCAATTCGCCGCCTGGAAACCTCTCCCGCACAGCGACAAAGCAGCCGTTCAATAAGATACGCCAAGATTATCGAGAAGGGAGGGACCCGATGGCTGTCCTGGACCCGGAGGAGGGGTACAGTCAATGGCTGTTCAGCGCCGAAGAGCTCCAGGCCACGCCGTCGATGTGTGACGGCCTGGATCCGGCTGAGGAGAGGTGTCGCCGGGCGAAGGGTGTGAATTTCATTATACAGACGGGCATACTGTTGAAGCTGCCGCAGATGACGATTGGGGTGGCGAGCATTTTCTTCCACCGGTTTTACATGCGGAAGAGTATGGTGGAGAAGAAGGGGGGGCTGCATCACTACGTAAGTCAAGAAGTCGTGTTTATTTCTTAGCAACAGACCCTTGACTGCTTCTTTTCTCTTGTCTTTTCTCTACAGGATGTTCATGACGGAGGGTTCATGACTGATCTTTTGTCTCAGAGTCTCGCAGCCACTGCCCTCTTCCTCGCAACCAAAACTGAAGAGTGCTGCCGCAAAACTAAAGAGATTGTTATCGCCGTCGCCAAAGTCGCCCAGAAGAACGCCGCCCTCATCATCGATGAGCAGTCCAAGGAATATTGGCGCTGGCGCGACTCCATGCTCCTTTACGAAGAACTCATGCTGGAGGTTCTCACCTTTGACCTCGTAGTACAAACCCCCTACTCGCTTCTCATTTCGGCTCTGAAGCACTACAATTTCGAAGACAACAAGCATATCCGCAATGTGGCCTGGGCATTCGTCAACGATTGCGGCATGACGATGGTATGTCTGGCGATGCCGCCCCGGGATATCGCCGTCGCGGCGCTGTATTTTGCGGTCCAGTTCCATTGGGAAACGATACCTGACGATGAGGAGACGGGGCAGCCGTGGTGGGTCGTGTTGGGTGGGAAGTCGGACAGGATTGTCAGGGCTGTGGGCTTCATGACCGAATTCTGGCGCGAGAATCCGCTGCGCAAACCAGAAACCCCTTACGCTGGGTACACCTCCTCGAGCGAGGATCTGGACAGGACGAGGAAGCGCGCGGGTTCGGAGGTCAGCAGTATCATCTCGCCGCCGTCTGTCAACGGTGATACTCAGTCTCACCATAACAGTTCCCCGAAAGTGAAGGAGGAGGAGCCTGCGCTGAAAAGGGAAGCGGAAGATAATGGCGAGGGGTCCGTGTCTTCGTCGAAGAGGAAGGAGACAGATGCGAGTTTCGAAGAGGGCGAGGAGATCGACGAGCCGGCTGCGAAGAGGGCGAAGACGGAAGAACCTGGCGAGGAGGACGAGTCTGGAGATACCGCGGAGCCGGGGGAGGTGGATGATGCGCCGGGTTCGTGATGTTTCTGGCGTTCAACGGATTCCTTGATGGATTGATTTAGGGGGTTGGGATGGAGTCGGGGTTAGGGGCTCGGGTTTAATACCCAGTCAAGGAACGATAAGGGTCTTGCTTTTCCTTTATCTACTCTCTTTCTCTATGTCTTTTTGCCTCTTTTGTAGATACCCAGCAAATGAAATACACGATTCGATAGTTATCTTCGAGAAGGAAGGCGTATCCTGTCTTTTCTTCCGTCTGGAGTAGATCCGTTACTCATAGGTAGAACATTCCGAAGGAAGACAGATACAATAGGTGTTGAAAGAAAGTTGGGGGTTCCCATCTTTGTAACGTAATGAATAGTTATCTTTTATTACAGTATCTATATATTTCATATCGAATATCAACCTCAAACCCCTACACCCTCACTCCGTTTCAAGTTAACCCCCCCCCCTCCCGCGGCCCCCTCCACAGAACCTCTCTAACGGCACCTCCCTCCACCGTGCCCGCTCCGTATGCCACCACACATCCCTCTGCCTCCCCAGCTTCCCACTCGGCACCACCGGTACTACACTCCCATCGAGATTCCAACTCCCCGTGCACCCCTCCCTGCCAGTCTCAATGCCATCCTCGCCTCTGTCCAGCAAGCCGCCCACGCCCCTGTCAACGCCGAGAACGGCCTCGTCGCTGCCCTCGACGTCGCGTCTCAGGCTGTAGAACACCTTGCTCTCGACGACCGTGCCCAGGAAGCCGATGGTGGAGCGCTCCACCAAGGCACCATGCTCGTTCCAGACTACGGTGTGGAATCCGGGGCTCGTCGTGGCCGCCGCCGTAGCCTCGATACGATGCTGAGCCAGGCGGCGGGCAGTCGCCAGACTCGTGCCTGCCTCTCGAGGAGGAGGCGTGTCGTTGTCGGCGGACGAGGAAGCTTTGTCCGTGTTGTGGGAGGAGGCGGAGCGGGTGGGCGATTTGACCTGGCTAGGGATGTGGGAAGTGGAATGGCGGCGCATGGAGAGGATGGAGCGGGTGGTGGGCGGAGGACTTGGCGCGATTGGAGCGTGGGGTGGTTGGTTGGAAAGGCTCGTATTCCTGTATCAGTCTGCTTGGTGTTCGATGCGATCTCTGGGCCTGCAGAGGCGTTGGAGGGTGCCGTCAGGGTCGGTCGGCGCACGAAGTGTTCGCAGAGCTGGGAAGCCGCCAGATTCCGTCGACTTGGCGAAAATATCGGTGGCTTGCCTGTCGCTGGGGTTCGTGAATTCCCAATGCAGGTACTGCAGAGTTGAAGAGGCCAGATAGGGATGCAGGTAGATCTCAACGCCATTGGGGAGCGATGGCGAGGGTGCTTGAGATATGGTGGAACGAACGAGGGATTTCAGATGAGAGAAGAGTCGGGTCAAGACTGGCTGGGAGAGGAGCGGAAGCGAGATCAATGATAACGAAGTCAGGAAATCAGTCCTCGCGTGAGACCCGTAACTCGACAGTCCGTCGGCAGTTACGCCGGGGAGGTTATCGAGCCGTACCGACTTCAAAGATGGTAGTGACAGAAGTGTCTCGCCATTGAAAGAAGTGGCAGGATAAGATGAGACCAGTATATTCTCCAGGGAAGGTGAAGAGTAAAAGATATCCGTGAACACCAGGGAATCGATGGTGCCACCTGGGCTACAATGCAGAACTAGAGTTTTGAGATAAGTCCAATTGGAGTGGTGGCCGAAGAAATCGATGAATTCATTGCTCCGGGAGGAGCGGGCTTGGGGTAAGAATCGGAGAGAGGTACTCCGCATCGGCCGAGATATTAAACCGATGCTGTCGCCGGTAAGGGCTGGCAGAGATGATCCTGACCTTCTCAGTGAGCTTTGCTCGTGTTGATAGTGCATGTACCAATTTCGTGAACTCGTGATCGTACGCTGAATAGAAGCCCGGGAACCTTTCGAGGTTTGGGCATGCCACGATCAGAGATGCCAGGAGTTCGAGGTACTCGTCCTGCTCTTTCTTGCTCTTCGCTGCATCTAGCATTGCCGGGACTTTCAGAGATTTGACATACCCAGCTAGCTCTGGTCGAAATCCGGGGGGTCTTCCGTAGCAATCTCAGCCTCGTCCCGTATTTGAGCTTGAACCTCTTCTTGGTGTGGAGTATCGAGTCGCATCCAATCATCTGGATATCTTCATATAGAGCACACCTTGCTGCTCCCCACCATTTCCTACAGCTTAGCCCCAGGTTTGTCACATCTCTCATCCAAAATGTCGAGCAACTCAAGCTTCTAGTACGTAGATGTAACTTCTTCAGCTCGGATGATATTAGAAGTAGAATTTCCTCGGGCACTTTCTTGAACCCTTCTCTTCGAATAGTGTAGGTCCTCCCAGACGGGGTTTTGTTGGTAGAATCCGACCCCATTTTCCCTGTTAGTAACCAGAACCTTGCATCTGTTGACTTCCTTCTCCAGCTGCTCCATATCGCGGCGATGCTGATAGGGACTCAGCAGCCGGTCTTCGTTGGCCAGGGATTGCAGCCAGAGGTATTTAAGGAGGTTTCTTTGTACTGATGCTGTTCCTGCTCCTAGTATCCGGACCAGAGTACGAAGATTCCTTGCTTGTACGACTTGACTCGTAGACGATTGAAGATCTAATACTCAAGAGACTCTTGTGTTTCAACTCAACGCTGGACCGGGAGGTCATCGAGCTGCTGGCAGTAGAAGCTGGTCGCTTATACAATCGAGGAGACTCCATGCTCGGTGGGACTCCCCAAGGGAGGTCGAAAGGCGTGGGCATAGGACACTTTGCAGGGGGTTGGGCGAGTAGAAATTGTACGAGGCGGCAGACTTGTGCTTCCGTTCTGAACGCAGGGAGGCGAGCGCGGTTCTTGTTTTGATATCTTGCTCGCTGTAGCTCCGAGGCCTGGTCTTTTGGGCCTGGTCCTTCTCTACGCTAGATTTGACCGGTCGGACATCAAGGGTTTGCCGAATCCTGGATGTTGAGTAGGAGAGAGGGAGGGAGGAGGAGAGGGAAGAAGAGGAGGAGGAGGGTACTCTGTTTTGTAGCACATGGCGTCTGTCCTGGCACTGTTCTTCATTTTATATTGGTCTCGGGACGCTCAGGTCCATAGACAGGCTGTCATCCCGTATTGTGACTGGCATGGCGCATCTTGAAAGTCGCGCCGGAACTTGGGCGCATTGAGGTTGGGATTGGGGAGTTGGTGGTAAGTGCTGGTAGCGAAATTGATGTTTTTCTTCTGGCGGTTAGGAGAAGGGGAAGCCAGCAAATACCCCCAGCGCTAGTGACACCGACACAGCCATCAACATCAACATCATGACCCAGGCTTCAGCTTCAGTCCTGAACAGAAAAGAACAACAAACAATGAGCAGCAGCCGAAGGAAAGGAGGCTCAAAAGATGATGTTGCGAATTGTATTTTGTATACTAAAACTAGCAGTAAGATATGAAAATCCGCATTCTCTTCCGATCCGCAATCGCTTACGCCGACTAAAACCGAAAGGATAGTAAGGAAGCACTTCCATGATGGGGGGGGTGGATGCGTTGTGTGGAGTGGATGATATTTCTATGTTCTCCTTGGTGGGAGAAGTTTATGTACCCCCCTAGCGCGCACGTGCGCCTAGGAGGCCTGATGGCCTCAGGCCATCACAGAAGCCTACTTAAACGAGCCGACAATTAATTATTAAGACGGCTCTAGCGTACTCATTTGAAGCTTATCTTGAATTAGCCAAGCTAAAATAGATTGAAAGGTTTGCTAGCTCTACTTTCATCAGCTATTACACGAATATAGAGCCTTCCATTCCGTTAAAGATTTTCATTCAAATCGGTCTCAGCTTTCAGTTTATCAACTAAAAAATCAGAATACCATACATTTAGCTAGCTGACTTGTGTATTGCTTTGGTATCTCCGCCGTAAGCGCATGAAGGCAATCGTGTACTTGTGGGGACCAAACTAAAGACCTTTGCGATGGAGTCGCCGGCGCAAGCTATAGTTTGGGAAGGGTAAGTGACTATGAGGCTGAAAAGAGTCCTTTTAAACCCTGTAATTATATCGCATATGATATATGCTAATACTTATCAGTTTGAAGTGCTTCATTGCGGATAATGGTGCTGTCGATAATTTCTATCGGAACTCCACTAGTGACGGAGGTTGTCGAGCACAATAAGCGCCTCTCGGCAGATTTTCCAGATACATCACATTCATTTGTTGTCTGCCGAGGAAGGACTTCGCTCTTTGTAAACAAAAATGAAGAAGACGATTTGCTATAGAGAATCTTAACTTCACGTCCATCATGCACATACGAGGATGGAATGAGCTCGGATCGAAACTATTGGAGATCAGGCGAGAAAACCCATTCCTAGATTTATACGCACATAACCCCATGTCTTTTTTGTTTGTTTTCCTCGGTCGAAGGTATGCAGCTATGCACCACATACACACACATACCTAGAAGTCCTTGCGCTCAGCTTCAAGCTCCTCGCATAAATCCACAGTGGTTACCCGAGTTTATCGAATGGTCTTGGTAAGAGGGAAGTCGTAAGTAGTACTTGTAGCTAGTTAGGAAGACGCCAAGGCTTGTCGAGCTAGCGTGCTTGGCGAGCTAGCGTTCCCGAAGAAGCAGGAACGCACGATAGCTGCAAGCGGACTTTAGGAATCATGAACAGGCCAATGAAAGCGCTGTAGAAGATTTTTATGGTATATGGAGTAAGTTATATTGAGTAAGAAAGAAGTTTCTCGGTGAGACTTGGCTTTGCAAGAGTCAAGAAGCTCGATGTCAGCATACAGCCAGCTCTACTTGATTCGCGTCCCATTTTCTTGGCGTAGGTGTACTCGACCGATGACATCGCTGTCCATATCTCACTTAGTTCTCGATTTAGTAAAGCTTTAACTCTTGGCTTGCTTGCTCTTGCATGCATGCAGTATAAGTTCAGTGATATGAGAACATGCATGTTTTTCATAGCGGTGCATAAACTTTATGGGATGTTCCAAAGCATTGCGTTCGTTATCTCCAGGTCAGTAGAGGGCTATTGTGATTTCGGCCTGGTAACATGACAGATGAAAAGTAGAGCGAATCGCCAAAACCAATCTGCACTCTGTAGAGGCAATGTGTCGGTAGAAGAGAGCATTGAAGCGAGCAAGTCTCTGCGGCACAAACTGACCTGCCATCCACGAAGTTTGGGTGAATCGCAAGCATAAGGACCCGGAAATTATAGTTCAAGATCCAAAATGGTATCTCTGAGGCCTAGACTTCCCGTAGAAGAAGGGGAATGAGTTGGGTTACGTCAAAGTGGATTTGTGAATCATCTTCGTCTGTAGAACTGGCTTAGCTTAACGTTCGAGAAATCAATTGGCAAAAGCATGAAGAGTCGGATAGGAAGTAGATGCCGAAGCATCAAGAACAATTTGTATAAAAATATGTTCGTAGAGCTAGCTTTGCTGCAGCCTGACTTTAGAGTGAGCCGGTCAGTCGGTTAAGTCCGGGCGGGACCAGATTTGGATTCTTGAGATCTTAAGAGCACCCAGAGCTACATGAAAAAATTGCGAATGTCACAAAAGGAGCACTAGAAGTGTGATGGCAGTTCTTCTCATTGCATGTCTGGATCTTTAGATCTGCGTCTGAAGAGGACCGCGCTGCTGACTAACATTGCACCCTTAGACGCCCCACTCCCTTCCATTTAAAACACGGAATATACCTCTCCTGCTTACTATCTGCAGGCTTCAGATAAGCACAAATACCGGAGGGGGCAAGTTATTCTCGGCGAGGAAGGGACTACTCTTGATGACTTCGTTCATCCTCTTGGCGTAGTCGATAGCCACTTCTCTTGGTAGCTGAGGGGACGTGGTATCAATGATAGCATTCGGATCGATATCATGATAGTCAACCAGAGGTTGGTGCTCCAGGCTTTGGCGTAGCTTATGATGTGCCAGCTTGATCTCTCTAACCCGAGGAAAGACCGCGAGTAGTGGCTCGTATCTCATCACTCCAGGTGAGAAAGAATATCTCGCCAGCGTGCTTCCAAAGATGAGCCTTGTAACGTGTTCGGACCAGCTCTCATTCTGCAAGGCTTCGTAGGTACGCGGGAAGGGGATACTTTGGAGCATCTGAGATCGGAAAGTGGCAAGGTATAGAATGTCTAGGCTGGCCGAGAACCTGAAGACGCTTTGGACTTTCCGGCTTTTCTGGTGGTGCATGACGAGCTGGTGCGGAAATTTTGTAAGGTAGATGTCCCGGGAAGTTTTGCATGCGCCTAGAAGGCCAATAGCTCGTTGGATTCGGTAGTTCTTGATAGCCCCTTTGTTGTCTGGTGCGGCTTGTTCCTTATCGACATTGAATGCAATCCCTCGCTTTCCGTCCTTCCTGATGTATGTAGTATGGCTAACCTCTACATAATAGGTTAGCAGTGCTGATTCACCCTAACACCTGCTAGAGAACTTACGAATGATAGAACCATCTGGTGTTGCTTCCTTGAAAATCATCGTTTTCAATTCAATCGGGAGCCTTTCAAAGAAGGTGAAACTGGTCACTGGCTCCCACTCTGGAGATTCTGTGGAATCTGTAGCAGGCTGCTCCCGGCTGGACTCTTCGTCGGACTCTGGTCTGTTGACTCCAGAGTCCTTCTCGCGGTCGAGGCTTCCGTCGGAGTCCATTGTGTGGACGGGGTGCTGTCGATCCGCAGCTTAATGAGTTTCTAGATGCAAGTTTTTCTGAGAAGAGAGATCGATATATAGGTTGTCGGGTCGCGGGAGAGACTTACAATGCGGCCGAAAAACGCGCTAGCGCTTGTACACAGTCAACAAAGCACCCGCCCCGACATCATAAGATGGCCTACAACATATACTAGATGTGAGAAACCTCCCTATTAAGACCCAAAAATCCTTTTACATATATGCTACAGTGGGAGAGGATGCTACCGCAGAGCTCGAACAAAGGCGCCAAACACTTTGCGGGCGCCAAAGCCACTACTGCTCGTCACTTTACGATTCTCGCTCTGCAGATGCAGTGATTTCCAAGCCTCGAGTTTCTGGCTTTTCGTGGGATCTTGCCCTACAGTTTAAGCTCTCTCGTCTTCCAATTCTCATTATATTTGCGCAGAATGCTCCTCAAGGCAGCTCCACCTAAGCCCAGCTTCCTCTGTGAGCCCAAATCGGCACAAATACAAGAGTTTACTATTACTGGAGGCACTATTAACTTGTTCTTGAAGCATATTTCCGGCAGATATCGAAAGAAGGTCTTAATAAGGGTCCCCGTGAGCATTACTTTCGATACTACCCATGGTTCGACTCCACCGACAAGCATCAGCGGGCTACCATCAAGCAAAACCGCGGGCTGGGCCTTCTTCTCGTGAATACTGAATCGAACACTGAAAAAAATCCCGCCTTCCCTCTCGGCCTTCTAAATTCACGCTCCGAGCCGGAGCGACACACTGGTCCCAAGTGCAAGATCATAATCCGCGGAAGGTTGAGATTCTGCGCCGATGATAGATTTGACTTTTCTTGGCTCTACAGTACTCTGACATCTTCGTTAGCGACTCTGGCAGCAAATGCACTCCTGGCTTACACATCACGAGCATCTCTTCCCTACGGACGGATTCAATTGAATGGTGGTTCCGCAGACATCGTTGACGCGGAGTCACACGGATGGTGGTGGATGGGAGGACCCTGGGAGATGGGAAGGACAGCTGCGCGAGTCTCCACCAGATTTAATCACTGTACAAATTCTCCAAAAGAGATTCGGGTGTCCAGCCTGATAATTGAACCATGACGATATCCAATTTCCACCATGAACCGTGATATAATTCAAGTATGCGGAGTACTTACAAACGTGCTTACTTCGAGATTTTGGTCATTTGGGCTTTGCAATTTGCAACTAGCACTTTGTATCCTGAACAGGCAGGCCCCAGCCAAAAGTAGAATTTTCGTAGTTTAATATCCCCAGCCGTGATTGCACAGTATTTGCTGTGCTACATCGATCTACCTATCGATTCACTCAATCATCGCCCAATTGCCATCTTGCAAACATCTTTCCTTAGTAATATCAAACTTCCGTCGTGTGCGTATCACCAAGTTTTTTACATCACACTTTCGGAGATGAGAAACTCCAAAAAAAATACGACAAAATTAAGCGATAAAAAACGTGCAAAAAATGCAAAACTCAACTGGAAGCTCATATACTATAATGAGGTTCCAGTCTACAAACCTAATTGAATAGGTTTTTCGGCATCTACAATCAATCTGGCGGAATGTTAGATGGCTCGATATGACTGTACGCCACTGAGCCACCACACCTCCTTACCAGTTGATGGAAGAGTACTTGGAAATTTCTTGTATAACGCAGGCAAATTTTTTTTTTGGCCCGGGAGGCGAGGATTACCCGCGTGAGATGAGGAAGTGGTGGTGAATAACAACAACAACCCCTTTGAACTTTCAAAAAGAATGTCCCCCCCAAAATGCATACGACTGAAAGCTCCATCCATCCAATGGACAGGGTCTCCGTCCCTACCTACAGATTCTTACAACAAGTTCTTACCACAGGATCCGAGCATCAATTTTCAAGCAACAGCCAACAACGGAACGGAAATTTCGAGGCTTTTCTGAGCTTTCCGAATTCCCGAAAGAGCTACTATGGAACGACCTTGAATAAGTTCTTCCCATCGAGATACTTTCATCCAAGTCTTACTTCTTATGCTACGTCCTATTACGAGCTCCTCAAAAAAATCACCGTGTTCCAATCATCAATCTGGAGCCCCGAAGCGAATCACAAACTAAGACCAAACCCGCAAGCTCTGATTCTTGGGTCCTTTTAGATCAGCAGATATATATTCTTAAAGCACTGGACACCGTTTCGGATACCAACGCCGCGTCGCGGGATCTGGGTTCTGGAAAACTGTAGTCTAATAACCAAGACTCGATCAAAAGTCTGTCTCTGCATAGTGATCCTCCTCAGGAAATCGTTTTACAACATTAAATAGAAGCGAATGAGCTGCGAGAATACCACGATAAGGTGTAATCTTCTGCGCCTAGAGTCAGTTCCAAATATCAGTTTAAAAAATCAATTCAAGCACCTCGCGCTCGAAAGCCAGCGCTGTGCAGCCCAGGAGCTAGCTTGGGTCCTGGGACTCGGAACGAGTAAACCCGTCTCTGCGAATTTTCTCTGAACGACTCTGAGTCTACGAATATAAAGTTCTCTGTAGTTGCACGATTGGCAAAAGATAAGATGCCTTTCATCTTCCACGTAAGAACCATCTCCCTGCCTTCACGTTGATCGATTAAGCCCTGAGCCATGGGGCAGCTGCTTTCGTAGTATTCAGGTTCGAGGTCGCAGAGGAGAGCCTGGCGATCGCTTCTGGTACCCTGTAAGGTGCCGCCGTCGATTTTGGGACGGGAGCGGTTGAACGTGCCCGTCAGATACTCCATTATGTCTTGGCAGCCTGTGGCGTGGCCCATGAGGACTATCTTGCCGGTTTTGATGCCTCCGAAGTAGGTAACGCATTCTGAGAGTTCGTAGGCATCTTTAAGGAGGGAGGAGGTGCCCCAGCCTGTGTAGGATGATGAGAGATGAACTTCGGCGAGGGTCCAGGTTGGTGGGAGGAGAGGCGGCTAGGGGTATGGTGTATGGGACTGTGAGGAGGCGTCGTTTTGGCGACCAATGAAGAGGATGATATTTTGAGGTGCTGATGGCGGGAAGTAAGGCTTATGCTCGAAGGCTGTGAGTTCGGATGGCTGGATTGGTGTCAGAAGTGGGATCCGTTACTTTATTGGATATGAAAAGGGTTGGAAAGATAGCAGGGGAGACAAACAACATATTGATGAACAAGTCCTCTCTGTGGACGTGGGCCCGCCATTTGAACGAGCAATACAAAAACAATCCTTTGACTTGAAATTTGAATGCCCGAAGCCGTTTGGTGGAGGTGGGATATCAATGAGGACGAATATCTCGCTCTCTGGTCTCGTCTGGTCCGGTCCGGTCCTTGACGTATGAAATCGACTTGAAAGTTGAACTTGATTGCTGGCCAGAAAGAATTCTATATTTTGACCGTATGATTTATCGAAGCAAAAACTCATGTTTGGAAAGCAGCGAAATTTGTTCAGGAGGAATTTGGCAATGTCGACACTAATGAGTCTATACCCGCTACTAAAGTCTACAACGAACTGAGGAGGAAGGAGGTAAAGGAGTGTAAGTATTGACACACGTGACCTCAAGGTCGAACATTTTTCCTCATCAACCTCTCTCGAGCTACAGCTCCCTCTCTATCAACCGTCTCACCAGACCACACAACAACAAAACGCCCATCCCCCTTAAAATGCCACCAACCCACCACGCCCCCACTCCCTCCACAATGTCCTCCCTCCTAAAATCTCTCCGCACCCTCTCGATGGGCCCCTCGCCCACCCCCCTCGCCCTCGCTCGACCCGCCGTCCCAAAGCTCACCTCCCCCAAAACAACCAGCAGCAGAGCATTCAGCACGACGCCCCCCCTCGGCGCCCGCAAGAACGACAAGAAGAACAAGACGGACCCGCGGATCACACTCATCCGGTACCACATGCAGCACCAGAAGACGCCGCGGCCGCTGCGCCTGAGCCGGCTGCGCGCGCTGCGGCACTGGACCATCCACCGGGCGTGGATGCTGGCGCGCCGGCGGAAGAGGGAGGAGGAGGAAGGAGAACTCATGCGGTGCGTACCCCTCCAGTTTACTCGGCTTTTGAGAAGTCGGCATTGGCTTGCAAGCCTACCAATGGACACCCAAGTCTGATGGGAAAGGCGCTTTACATGCATGATGGAATCTACGAAGCTGGGAACCCATGGGGTACTTGATAATGGAGTGGCCCGTTCTTGATAGTTAGGAAAGACAGATGGATTGAAATGCATGCTGATTGATGTGTGGGTGTGTGAATAGAATGCATCAGAGTATCTACAATGCGTGCGAGGCACTGCGTACTATGGACGCGCCAGGCACGAAAGATGCTGGCAGGCTATACCGGATCGCGATGGAGAAGAGGGGGATCTTCAGGGCTGGGGGCGTGCCGATTGAGTATGCGAGGTACCAGACCGATACGCCGGCCAGGGAGGCGTGGAATCATGGCTGGACGAGGTAGAGAAAGAAGACGGATGTGAATGGAAAATGAGAATATGCTAATTAGTAGTTTGAGGGCGGGTACTATGTGGTGTAGAGAGAAGAGGTTAAGGGTTGTGTAGTGTAGGATTAACGGGATCCACTTTGGAGGAAGGGGAGATGTATGTTAGACGAGCTTCCGTGTAAATAGAGAGTCGAAGCATAAGTGAGTGCTATGCCCATCACGCCAGGAAGAGGCATGGGCAATATAGTGTACGGTATTCATATAATATCGGTCGATGAGAGGGTGGGGGGGGGGGGGGGGGTCAGGAAGCCGGTCGCGTACCTCAGCAAGCATGTTCATCACCCATGTATATACGCTTCCTTTTATTCTATGTACAAATTCCGCTTTTGGTCATATATACCACCCAAATGATTTCATACCCAAGCCAGCAATGCCGTGAGCAAGCGAGAACAACGAGGTTCTCTCCTACGCGTGAAGGGATCCTCATCCTCGCAGTCTGGGTACGTAGTCGAAAGTACGTAAATGGCGAAGGTTAAATAGATACAGGTGACGCAAAGGAGTGTGTGTGAGAAGGACCAAGATCGTGATCAGTCATTCATCAGTCATTAAAAGCGCTCTCTATCTTGCAGCAAGCCCTCGCTTCATTTCTACAAACCCCCAACGCCAAATATAACACATTAAATAGAAAAGGCTTGTTGGGTCTCAAAAGCTTTCTGTTGGCGCAGCGAGTTTGTGCCGCGCGGATGCAAGCTACTGGTAGGGGCGAGGCCCCCTCCCCTCCCACCCCNCCTC